CAATTGTTGATTAGTTTCACGTGCAATCCACCAAGTACAGATTTGTTTCACGTGCAGGGCACTAAGTGAATGTGAGTGCATGGTTTTACGTGCACATGCATTAAGTGTAGATGGGTTACACACACACACACGCGCGCGCACACACACGTCATGGATTTCCCTCGGCCTTGGAAATATGTACATAAAATCACAAAGATGGCTGTTTCATATTTTCCTGTTTACCTGAAAAACTACATGAATATAGTGTACGTATTGTCAATAGGGAATTGCGTCGAACATTATTTTGATCACGGATGCGTCAAATGTGGAAATGTCCTCTGGGCTGGAGCTGCAGGAGTATTGCTCGACAAAAAGGGAAAGGTGATTAAAGAAGGTCCAAGTCATCCCTCTTCAGTCCTGTAAAGAGTGTTTCGTCACTATGAATCTTTCTACATTGATCTAAACATGAAACAGATGAGGCGTACTCGCTTGTCATTTATTTCTTGTTCAGGTGGGTAAATCAGTGGAAGGGAATTGGATATTTGATGGTTATTGAACGATATCAGATCATCGATATACCTGAAGCTTAAGTTAAACGTCTTGGCCAAATTACCTTCTTTTGACTTTGCCAATCAGAGCAGAATGCCAAGATGTCAACAGAAGGACCTACAAGGAATAGAATAGAGTTACCAGGATGTCTACAGTAGGATAGGCCCACCAGTAAGTCTACAGTAGGATAGGTCTACCAGGATTCCTACAGTAGGATAGGTCTACCAGGATGTCTACAGTAGGATAGGTCTACCAGGATACCTACAGTAGGATAGGTCTAACAGGAGTCTACAGTAGGATAGGTCTACCAGGATGTCTACAGTAGGATAGGTCTACCAGTAAGTCTACAGTAGGATAGGTCTACCAGGATGTCTACAGTAGGATAGGTCTACCAGGATGCCTACAGTGGGATAGGTCTACCAGTAAGTCTACAGTAGGATAGGTCTACCAGGATGCCTACAGTAGGATAGGTCTACCAGGATGCCTACAGTGGGATAGGTCTACCGGTAAGTCTACAGTAGGATAGGTCTACCAGGATACCTAAAGTAGGATAGGTCTACCAGTAAGTCTACAGTAGGATAGGTCTACCAGTAAGTCTACAGTAGGATAGGTCTACCAGTAAGTCTACAGTAGGATAGGTCTACCAGGATGCCTACTGTAGGATAGGTCTACCAGGATTCCTACAGTAGGATAGGTCTACCAGGATGTCTACAGTAGGATAGGTCTACCAGGATACCTACAGTAGGATAGGTCTACCAAGATACCTAAAGTAGGATAGGTCTACCAGTAAGTCTACAGTAGGATAGGTCTACCAGTAAGTCTACAGTAGGATAGGTCTACCAGGATGCCTACAGTGGGATAGGTCTACCAGTAAGTCTACAGTAGGATAGGTTGCCTACATTAGGATAGACCTGAGATCAATATCCTAGGGGAGATATCGCTACAACGAACTGCACCACAATGCTTAGCAGAACATTGCGACGTCATCAGTTACCATGACGTCACAAGCAAATGACAATACTCATCGCTCAGCCAGGGAAGCTGGTGAGCTGCACGTCTAACACTCAAGGTTGGTTGGTTTGTTGTTTAACGCCGCACTCAGCAATATTCCAGCTATATGATGGCGGTCTGTAAATAATCGAGTCTGGACCAGACAATCCAGTGATTAATATCATGAGCATCGATCCAAGCAATTGGGATCGATGACATGCATCAACCAAGTCAGCGAGCCTGACCACCCGATCCCGTTAGTCGCCTTTTACGACAAGCATAGTCACCCTTTACGGCAAGCATGGGTTGCTGAAGACCTATTCTACCCCGGAATCATCACGGGTCCTAATACTCAAGGCGTAGGTTGTTGTTGTTGTTTACAAACTGAAAAGTTGGTTGAATGGTTTTGGCAAGGCTCGGAGTTTTAAAATGTTATCGAGTCATGTTAATATATGTGATATCCAAATAAACTTGGGTGAGATTCTCTATTTAATACTAAAATAAAGAAAAAACGTTTGACATGCCAACCCTACAGAGTAACTTCACTGAAGGCAGCCTATTGTTCAGATGACGCGATGTAATTAATTCGTGACCTCTTTAACAATGGATGACATCATATCGTATTTTCCTCTACACAGAAGCACTGTGACATCATATAGCTTGAACTGACCAATCAGCATTGAGAATCGCTAAATACACATATGCAAATATTGGTAATGTATTACACACGAGTCCCGTGAAGATTACGGGTCTTAGGCAACCGATGTTTGTCGTAAGAGGCGACTAACGGGATCGGATGGCCAGGCTCGCCGACTTGTTGATGCATGTCATCGCATCCCAATTGCGTAGATCGATGCTCATGATGTCAATCACAGGATTGTCTGGTTCAAACTCGATTATTTGCAGACAGCCGTCATATAGCTGGAATATTGCTGAGTGCGACGTTAAGCAACAAACAAAACAAACAAATATTAAACACGATGAGCTAGTATATCATAGCGGCCTCGACATAGTCAAGTCAGGCAAACCAGTGACTGAAAGCATGGGCGACGATGAATACGATCAGGGTATGATGACGTGCATTAGCCAAGTCATAGAGCTGATCACCCAATCAAAAGGTTAGTCCACTCTTAATTATGACCATTTCAGGTGTCCCCCCACCGAAATATTGCTGGAATATTGCTAAAAGCGGCGTAAGACCTCACACACTCACTCACTCACTCATGACGAGCATGAACTACTGGGACCACCTTTGTCCCGGGATATTCTCAGGGACCGGTTATATCCTGGTTATTTGGGGGGAACGGTTGTCCCAGTGGTTAAAGGAGCCACAGAGATGCCCTACCTCAGCCATGGAAAGGATCAACTGGTCTTCAGATCGAATATCAGATTCGCCCTGTTCATAATCCTTGGGTCTTCCGAAGACCTAATCTGACACATCGTAATAAAGCTGATTGAGTGAGTGAGTTGGGTTTAACGCCGCTTTTAACAGTATTCCAGTTATATCACGGCGTGTCAGCTTAATGTGGGAGGAAAGCCCGAAGTGATGCAGATCTCAGACGTTTACCACTTCGGTGAAACCCACGAGCACGGGTATAGTGCTGACAAACCTAGAAACATAATCGGGGTGAACCGGGATTGGAACCCACAATCATAGGTTTCTGGCGTGCCCAAGGGACGCAACTCTGCCCAGCGAATTGCGGTGCCTTAGACGACTGGGCCACCCGTGTCCCCCTGAAATCCACGACCACGGGTATGTTGCCGACACCTAATTACAGGGAATCTGGGATTCGAACCCATGATCATACTTTTCTGGCACGCATAACGGATGCAACTTTCCATAGCGAATTTCTTCCATAGTAAGCTGACATGCTGTGCTATACATGAAATACCCTTTAAAGCGACGTTAAACCAAACCTGTCTGGTCGTCTCGGGTGTAAAGGTAAAGGGGAGACAACTCACCGACAGCCCTGACGACAAGAGACGTGACAAGGAGGATGATTGCCGCCTTTATGGTGACGGCGGATGTGTGCGCTTGAAAGAGGATCTGGGATTTATAGCGGTGAATACGTGACATCACAGTCAAGATGCACTGGGTACGGGACAGACCTTTAGTTCAGCCAAAAACATGTTTACACAACGTCCATTCTGTCTTTTTTTCCATTGAATTCCAGAAAGGTATGATTTGACATTTTTATGTGAGTAGGTTCTATACATCTGTCAGAGAACGAATCAACTGAATATCCATGTCGATTGGTGATGTTGAAAGAGAAGTTGCTGCAACTTCAACTGAGAAAAGAATAAAGTTATATATTTGTATTACTGATGTGCAATGAGATCCCACTCTGACCTGCATCTCCCATGCGTAATCTCCCATGCGTAATGAGATCTCACTTTGACCCATGTGACTGATGTTATGAAATCTCACTTTGAGCTTCATGACCAGCATGAAATGAGATCTCACTTAGACCTACACGAATATGTAAACAAATCTCACTTAGACCTACACAACTAATATGTAAACAAATCTCACTTTGACCTACATGACTGGTGTGTGATACGATCTCCTTGACCCACAAGACTAATGTGTCATGAAATCTCACTTAGACCCACATGACTGGTGTGTAATAAGATTTATCATCCAAAAGTGGCTCCTACAGAAGATATCCCTTGGGTGAGATCAAGCGATATCTACATTGTAGATATCGCTGCAATGAAATTGCATCACAATGCTTTGAAGGCCATTATGATGTCATTGGTTACCATGACATCACAATCAAATGACATCACTAATGGCTCTGCTACTGAAAATGTTAGCAGTACCTTTTACTCTGAAGACACTGCTTATTACTGTGTACAAACTGCAAAAGTTGGAAGGATGATGTTGGATGATAATTAAAAATTTCACCCCTGTGTCTTATGATATCAAATGCATCAACACTCGTTGAGATCTCACTTAGACCCACATGACTATTGTGTAATGAGATTTCACTTAGACCTACATGACTGGTTCGCAATGAGATCTCACTTTGACCCACATGACGTATGTGTAATGAGATCTCACTTAGACCTACATGACTGGTTTGCAATGAGATCTCACTTTGACCCACATGACTTATGTGTAATGAGATCTCACTTAGACCTACATGACTGGTTTGCAATGAGATCTCACTTTGACCCACATGACTTATGTGTAATGAGATCTCACTTAGATCTACATGACTGGTGTGCAATGAGATCTCACATAGACCTGCATGGCTGGTGTGTAATAAGATCTCACTTAGACCTACATGACTAATGTGTAATTACAGGTATAGTGCTGACAAAACCCACAAACATAACCTGGGTGAATCTGGGATTTGAACCCATGGCTACAGGTTACTGACAAGCCTGAGGGATGTCACTCTTAGCAGCTAATTGTGGTGCTTAGAGAAGCAATGTGAAAGAAATGCTATGAGAATGACGAGAAAACAACTGATATCTGTATTTGTCCAGCATGTTTATTCTGGTTAACTAAAATGTTTCCTGGTATATATTATATAGCCACAACATTCAGCTAGTATAAAATATACAACATATTGGTCAAAGAAGATGAAAATCATAATAACAAGATTGATAGATTAACCAAATCTGTGTCGACGGCATGCAGCTCAGAACCGACTGATCCGTGGCACTCACTGCTTGAGACAGTTTGTGTGAAGATCAAGAATAATAATCTTAATAATAATAGCAATATTTATCATTTACCAAATGATTTCACTCACTCTCAGAATCACACAATATACACATTATACAGTATATGCCTTCACATGGATATACTGTCTGAAAAGCACAGCGGAACATGCAGTGTGAGATACGTCACAAACAAAACCTGGCAGGAACAGACCGATGCAGAGAAGGAGGTGAGGGGATGACAGAGTAGCTTCCCTTTATACATTTCAGAGAGAGTAACAAAAACAAGGTTGATATGATAGTAGCTGAAATGTTTACAAGTAAATAAGTGCACCCCACACCATATTTTGAAAACACTGCATCCAAGCCTTAACATATGTTACATTGTCACATCATACAATTTATTGCATCAACATATCAGAATCTATCTACAGTGACAATAAATTTTACTATGGAGCTTCACATACAACAGATTAGAAATGCAACATATTGTTTCAGCAATGATGTTTGATTACTCTCACATGGTAAAGAATAACCAAGATAATAAAAAAAAGTATTGGTGGTATAAAAAGTATTCTGCAATGTAAAATGTTGGCTTTGATACAAAATGCAGCTTCAGAAACAAGCTGCTGCACTTTGGTTTGGCAAAATGAATGTCAAGTACTGCTCCAAGAACAAGCGCATTCATTTGATGATAGTTATGTGACTGCTTCAACTGCCACACCGAAGTGCATTGACAATGCATAACTGACACATTTGAGGTGATGGAACAATGCATTAACTGCAACACCGAGTTGGAGCAAACGCATTAACTGCTACACTGTAGCTGATGGAACAATGCATTAACTGTCACAATGCAGCTGATGGAACAATGCATTAACTGCCACACTATAGCTGATGGAACAATGCATTAACTGCCACAATGCAGCTGATGGAACAATGCATTAATTGCCACACTGCAGTTGATGGAACACTGCAATAACTGTCACAATGCAGCTGATGAAACAATGCATTAACTGTCACAATGCAGCTGATGGAACAATGCATTAATTACCACAATGCAGCTGATGGAACAATGCATTAACTGTCACAATGCAGCTGATGAAACAATGCATTAACTGCCACAATGCATTAACTGCCACACTGTAGCTGATGGAACAATGCATTATTAGCTGATGGAACAATGCATTAAATGACACACTGTAGCTGATGGAACAATGCATTATTAGCTGATGGAACAATGCATTAAATGACACAGTGTAGCTGATGGAACAATGCATTATTAGCTGATGGAACAATGCATTATTAGCTGATGGAATAATGCATTAAATGCCACACTGTAGCAGATGGAACAATGCATTATTAGCTGATGGAACAATGCATTAACTGCCACACTGTAGCTGATGGAACAATGCACTGAATTGTCACCTTGTAGATAATGAAACCACCTGGAAGTTTAACCATATGTACATTAATGGACTACAATGACAGTGAAAGGCTAACATACAGCATCTGTGTTGAAGCTATATAAATAGAATTCCCCTCATATCATCAATATTGAGTCTAAAAAGGGCTGAAATTATTCGTAGGTTAATAAGCAATTTTGTGTTCGTACTTATTCAGATGTTGTAACAGCTTATAGATATTCCCCTACCAGCAAAGACAATGGTACAATGAAGGGTCTGTGTGTATATACGCATGCAAGAAGAAACTACACCATGTACACCAGTCATCAACATGGTAACACTGTGACAAAAATAAATATCTCACTAACTATAACAAGCAACATATATATAGAAGATATATGCATAGTTAAATAATAATGGCCAGAGATGCCAACCCAATCATCTGCCAGTCACAGCAGCATCTAGTCACAGGAGGGCCAAAATGTAGGAATTATACAGCCTTTTCATACAAACAAATCACATTGTTTTATTTTCAAAATTCAACATAATTCTGGTGATAGCGAGTCTGTACTGTGCAAGTTTAAGATGACTGGGGTAACATGAAAAGAGTTTATTTATATTCATGGGCGACGCTGTGTCCTCTTGCTAATTGTGTCTTGGGTACAGCTGCACTTGTCAGCAGGTATGTATCACTAACATGCCCCAGTCACACTCCGTGGATCTGGTAACCATGGCATCTTTGTGTGAAACATTTCTCTAGAAACCAAATGAAATTGAAAATGTATCTCATTTATTAATGCAGGTTCCGGGAAATCATTGGGAACTTGCTGACATGGTTAGTGCTGCTAATAGAACTATCAACACTGGCAGTCCTGCATGAAAAGACTGGCAATAGTGGCATCTCTGCCTGAGAGGAAAGATTATGGGCAACATTCAAGGGTCCTAAATAATCTACTCTTATCAGATATATATATATGTGTATATTCAGAGCTATATATTGACTGGAACATCTTCAGAAGTATCACCTGAAATGTCACACAACACATGAATGAAACATGTCATGGCACATAACACGTGGATAGCCTTACCAAGGCCCACCATGACAGAATCACACCTACACATGTAGCCTGGTGATAAACCTAAACAAATTCCTTTAGAAAGTGGTGACTAGTTTTAAACACTCTGCATCTCAGCTGCAACACTCAGCTCTCGGTGGCTCTCTGACAGAAACTTTGCTGTGACATGACTGCCTGAATAGGTGTTTGTACCTTCTGGTGTGAATCCATGCTCACACTATCAACCACCGGTTGGCCTGTTCGAGGGTCAAGTTCCACAAAGTGATCATAGCACCACAACTATCGTAAGCCTATGTTAAAATATGGGAGTTACGGTCATCATACTGCTAAGATCGCTTTGTGGAACAGTCCACTGGATTACTGTCTACCTGCCCTGAATTTTGTACTGCACAATCTGATAATATGAAATAATTATTCAATGATAGACAGTAAAGACTGATGTGGCTCTTCCCATCTGTACTGCTGCTAACACATGACATTTTAGCCCCAGTCACAGATCTGTGTTCATCCTGATTCCATGCTCAGCTATTTGGGAGTATAAATCACAACACAAACAGTTTTGTTACCCCATACATTAATTATGTAATGGTCTCCATCAGAGTTAAAAGTTGTGCTTATTTAGTCAGGAGTGACGGCCAGGCATGGAAAACAGGCGTCATAACAGGCACAAGACAAACAGTGTCATTCTTGTCCCTGGGAATGGAATGGATTTGTAGTGTATTAGTGCCCATTCTGCAGCGACCAGCTGACCAAACAAGTACCATATTTTCTTGTGTACAGTCCACCATCCTTGGGTACTAGCTTCTGGAAAACTGCTATATTGTGTAGTGTGCAATACTACATCATATCGCTTCAGGTGAATGACAAGGAGATAACAAACTTGGTCAATGAATATGTGAATTTGCGATAAAATATCACGAGACCTGATGATATACAATTTACCAGAAAATCTGGTACATGTATCTGACCATGTGTTATGTATTGGGAGTTAGCGCCTACATTCACATGTAACAGTGCAACATTGTATGATATGGAAACTGTGTCATATCATATATCACTGAATCAAACATATTGCATATTGGTATTGACATCAATGAAATGTATACAAAGTATAACAAGATGACAACATGTGTAGAAAGTCTGTTCAACAACTTGTTCACTGCATGGAGCCATGCTTAAAGCTACAATAACATCACCGTTTGGAAGATTCTCAGACAAAGGCAAACTTACTGGTTTTGTCAAACATGGAACTAACAGAAATGTAAAAATATCTGTATTTGGTATGTACGGTCTGATACTCTAAATATCATTTTTGGTCCCCTACAAACATTACCGATGAAATCTTTAACATTTTCTCAATTGTTCTCTCATGGTCAGTCACACTTGCAATAGCCCCCTACAGTTTAACATTCGGGAAATACTTTCCCACTACTTGGCTCCTGCATGTGTCCTTACTACCAACACATACAAGGGAGACAAGGACCATCAGACTGTCTTCTACATGGATTCTACATGAAACTGCCAACCCTATCTGACTCTGGAGAAACAAGCCTCCCTTCCCACATTGTGAAACAAACCTCCCTTCCCACATTGTGAAACAAGCCTCCCTTCCCTCATTGTTACACAAGCCTCCCTTCCCATATTGTTACAAGGCTCCCTTCCCACATTGTGAAACAAGCCTCCCTTCCCACATTGTGTTACAAGTTTCCCTTCCCTAATTGTTACAAGCCTCCCTTCCCACATTGTTACAAGCCTCCCTTCCCATATTGTGTTACAAGCCTCCCGTCCCACATTGTGAAACAAGCCTGCCTTCCCATATTGTTACAAGCTTTAACTATTTCTGTGTGTCCGACCCCAGCTTGTGTTGCCTCTTATTTGCACTCAGGTGCTTTATCATACCCTCAGGATTACCTGCTGAAGCACCCTTGGCCCCGCGAAGCTCCCTTAGTCCCCACTGAAGCAAAACTGGCCCTTCAAGTCCCCCATATCAGGCATCATCAGATGACAAACATCCGTACATTCATTCTTTTCTCATGTTAGTACTTTCTGGTCCCACTTGCCTAAACATAAATTCTGTAATCTTGTATAAAAACATCTTTACAAAAAAACTCTTAATGAGATGGAAAAACCAAGTGTTGAATCATATAAAATCACACAGTCTGATTATCATCCATCACAGCAGTCTGTTTCTGGCACCAGATTGAATTATCTCCCTTGATTGCATATCCAACTCTCGGAATCATCCTTAATATTTCTCCCATTGCGTAGATATGGTGCTAAATCAATTTCCTTCCATTTTTGACAATTGCTGTGTGTCCCCTGACCTAGCTCCATCAAGCATACACATATGTATGTATTGTAGCTCCTTCTTAGTTTTGTTGCGACAAGGCACTCCAGACTGGTGCCAACCAATACACACTTTATCACATGAGAGAACCTGGCGCCAGCGATGATATTGGTTCTGACGCCAGGATGGATCCTCAGGTCACGGAAATCAACACTGCCAGATCATCAGTTGTTCATTGGTGTATAAATTATGGATTAAGTGATTAAGTTGCCATAACTGCCTCATCATGCATTGAATACATCAAGTCTGTTTCCTTTGCGAGTGACTTTGAGGCCGGCACCCTGGATGCTCTGTGCGTCTTTGCTGAAGGCGACCTCAACACTGGAACCCTTGAACTCTGCTAACAACCTACAAGGAGAAAGTCAGTACACTACATTCACCCACCTGTGAGGATCCGGGTTAGAATAGGTCCTCAGCAACCCATGTTTATCGTAAGAGGCGATTAACAGGATCAGGTGGATCAACTTGGTTGATGCATGTCATTGTATCCCAATTGTGTGGATCCATGCTCACATCAATCAATCAACAGATTTGATTATTTACAGACCACCGTCAAATAGCTGGAATATTGCTGAGTGCCGTTTTAAACAACAAACAAACAATACATTCACAAGTGGGTTCTATCCAGTCCTCAACCTGCCTGCCATACCATAGGAAGTAATGTTCAGCACACTACCTATCAAATCATCCATCTGCACAGAGATATATTCTAACAATTGTCACACAATGTCTAGCCCTTAAAGGGCAAGTTCACACGGAAATTAATCTATTTTTCTTGTACTTTTTCCACATTAAAAGTGTTAACCTAGAAGTGTCATAGACAAAAATATAAAAATATCACAATTAATTAACATATTTATCGCATTAAAACGATTTATATTTTTCACATTTACCAAGTGTTCTATTTCCACAACAAAAACACCATGGCTTATGCCCCTTGCAATATGACGTCATTGGTGCCAATTGATAAACATTATGACATCATCATGCTTTGTTAGAGCCGCTTCACGTGGTGTAGGTCTAGGTGTGTGATTCTAGCGTCTCAAATGCCAGCCAGCATAGTGTTATGCTGAGTCACCACTGCGCCGGAGTGTGTCGAAGGCCATGTTGTTTTACCGCAAACTGGTACTTGATATCTTTTGCGTTGAGAATAGACAGGGACCCAGTTGAATTGGCACCAATTACGTCATAATCTAAGGGGGATAACTCAGGCCTGTTTAGCTCGAAAAACGAAGGCCTCATAACGGCATATCATTTTCACACTATTGTGAGCTTCCTACTTTCACTGTGAAAAAAATGAGTGTTCCAAACACAGATACTAATTAATTCTAAAATTGCGTTTTGTTTAGAAAAAGAAAGAAAGTGATTTTTGCGTGTACACTTCCCCTTTAATTAGAACTAGAGGTGTTTGCAAACAAAAACCAGAAGCAGACCCATTAACCCCATTTTCTCAACACATCTTAATACCACCCTTTACGTTCAATTCAAAAACTTCTAGACCCTGACCTTATTCAAGACGTCTTAACATCCAACAAGTCCCAGGCTTGTACAAGTCAAACTACAACAGCATCTGGCAATGAATGATACAACCATGCTTCACAATAACCTCTAAATTGACCTTGACCTTTGATAGATATGGCGCTGACATTTCATTTGGTATGACTTATAAAGTAATGCTTTTTGAAAAAGTGTAACCAATATTTTTTCTAACTCATGACCTTTAACTTTGACCTTTCCATGACATGTACCATGGTTTTGGAATGCCTAAGGGATGCAACTCTGCACATAGATGACTGGGTCACCTGTATCCCCAACTACTGCAAACCTGATATTGACAGTGATAATGACCCCAGTGCTAACTGACAGGGTATACATACTGTGGAGATATCTGCACCTCCGGGGGCTTCTTGGTGTGGTTCTGCACCACCAGGTACGCCTTGGCTACCAGTTCTATCACATGGGGATCACAGCTGAAGATGAAGTCTCCCTTCTTCGACAAAATATCACCGTTTTCACTCTGCAACAAATGGGTTAAAATATTTTCTTGACAATCCACAAGAAGAGAACCCAGTCTGTATGACATTTGTGTACTGAGACAGAGATACGGATTGATATGCATTACAAAATGGTGGAGTGAGTGAGTGAATGAGTGAGCATACTGTTTCTGCAATATTCCAGCACTACCACAGCAAGGGACACCCAGGAAATGGGCTTCAAACATTATGCCCAAATGAGGAATCAAATTATGGTCTTTGGTTTGACGAGTGAACGCTTTAACCACTGGGCTACCTCACCACCCAACAAAATGGTGGACTGGGTATCAGAAATGGAGGTCAGTTGTTTTTCTCCAGGGTTAAGGACCCATTACCAACATTAACGTTCCATATCATTCCCCAAGCCTCACTCCCCCAAGCCACGCTCCCATAACCACTCAACACAAGCCGTGCTACCCAAGCCACGCTCCCCAAGCCGCACACCCCAAGCCGCACACCCCAAGCCACGCTCCCCAAGCCACTTTCCTAAAGCCACACTCCACGAGCCATTCTCCCCAAGCCACACTGCCCAAGCCACTTTCCTAAAGCCACACTCCACGAGCCACGCTCCACGAGCCATTCTCCCCAAGCCACACTGCCCAAGCCACTTTCCTAAAGCCACACTCCACGAGCCACGCTCCACGAGCCATTCTCCCCAAGCCACACTGTCCAAGCCATGCTGCCCAAGCCTCTCTCCCCAAGCCGCACACCCCAAGCCACGCTCCCCAAACCCCACTCCCCAAGCCACGCTCCTAAAGCCACGCTCCACGAGCCACGCTCCACGAGCCATTCTCCCCAAGCCACACTGCCCAAGCCACTTTCCTAAAGCCACACTCCACGAGCCACGCTCCACGAGCCATTCTCCCCAAGCCGTGCTACCCAAGCCACGCTCCCCCAGCCTCTCTCCCCAAGCCGCACACCCCAAGCCACGCTCCCCAAGCCACGCTCCTAAAGCCACACTCCACGAGCCACGCTCCACGAGCCATTCTCCCCAAGCCGAACTGCCCAAGCCATGCTGGCCAAGCCACTCTCCTCAAGCCTCACTCCCCAAGCCACTCTCCTCAAGCCACTCTCCTCAAGCCACTCTCCTCAAGCCATGCTGCCCCCGACTCAATCCTGACCTACCCCATAAAAACCCTTCCCCATCCCCTCGACTTACTCCTGACTTCTGAATATGGAAGATGACGAGTTTGTCCTGGTATGGACTGAGAGAGATGCGGTGTATCTGGCCCAGAGGGATTCTGTACTTCAGGGCCATGGTCTTGTTGTCGATGATCAAGATGGCCTGTGTGCTCATCACAAACAGCATCTGCACCATCTGCAGAACACACAAACATCATCAGTGATATACACACAATATACTGCTCTTCTTCTGATATGGATACTCCTACCCTCCAGGTTGGAACTGGTTGAACATAGGAATGTACTAGTACTTTGGACTGATGTATATTCATTAGGGCCGGAAAGAGTTCAAATGTACTACAGGTACCGGCCCCCTATTCCCCGACCCTACCGGGTACCTGCTGTAGGAGTTTGATATAAAATGTCTGATTTTGATTTGTCAATTAAGAGCCCTGACAAAATCTATTTAGATACATGACTGTAAAAAACGATCTGATCATGTATACAAGTTGACATAAGTTATATCTTTACTCAAAGATATAAAAGTCAGAAGGAATGCAAACATTAGCGACTTAAATTATAACCATGGACTTTGGTCATTGTCACCAAACTGTATATCACGTGACAGGTCTGGGTAGTCCTGTGGGTACCCAGGTCCTAATCAGGAACCACCCAAACTTTCCCAGCCCTAACTTTAAGCAGCTGTCTACTGAGTGGACAGGAGGGCCGTATTTGAGTATCCCTATCATCTGTTGAGTAGTGCATGTTAAACACAAACCATGCAATGAATCAATATTTCTGACTTAAGAAGAATTTGGAACATGGACATATTTGTCCTCACCTCGCCTATGAATGTCTCACCTTCCCGTTGGCTCTGTTGATCTTCATGACCATTTCAGCAAAGACGATCTGCTGATCTGCGGTCTGACCGGACAGCTTCTTCCACTTCTGGTTCTGTTGTAGAGCCGCGTAGTCACCTCGGAACGCTTCACCCACACTGAAAGGAGGGGACACTTCAAATGATCACTGACATTCTTTAGCCAAGACATGCATTGTCAACCAGACCATAAGCTTCACACAGTCCATAGCATACCCTTTATTCTACCATGAATTTGGAAAATACTCGATTTTGATTGGTTACCTAAAGGTTATCAAATCACAGTTAACTACCTCTGAATGAAACATTCGATTTGATGGCCATATCACCACCGAAGCTAATATCTTTAGAATAGTCGTTCATCTACAGACACTGTTGGTTGATATATTTAAATAATTATATGTACAATAAAAGGTTACAAAATGTTAAGTTGCAGTAATTACAACATTCGAAGGATGTGTGGCAATACATTTCGTGCAGAAAACATGATAGAAATCTACAAAGAGAATGTGTTTCAAGTTTTGAGAACAATAGAGAGCTTGCTATTTGAGGCTTTACCATATATGACTGACATATCTTTTGTCTCACAATGAGCGATATGACGTCATAACAGTGATGTGCGGTGTAGAACAAAACCTTTGCAAAGCTTGCTTAGTTTTCTTTAGGGGTGCCCACCTCATGTTAGCTTACCAAGTTGCCATGCTTACATGCTTTCAATGCCTGTCATATGTTCGAATGAAGTATTTCAGTGTAAACAAACTGCTGTAGTATATACAGCGCCATATTTTGTTTAAAGGCTGTTGTCAGTGATTCCTTGATCGACATCCCACTCAAAGCACTAGATTCAAACCATGCCATTTCTCTCAATGTATTCACTAACACTAAAGAATACATGTTTTATTTAGTCATGGTAGTATGGAGATAAACATACCGTGTTTTCAATGAAGAGCTAGGTAACCATTATATTTAACCACGTTAAACTTAACATTTGAAACCTCTGCGTCTTCTGTTCCAAATTCAATTTAGTGCCGTTGAATCTACAGGTAACCAAGCTCTACATTGAAAACACATTAGGCTCATCTCCGAACCAACCCAAAAGCATATGCTTCACCAAGTTAAGAGCGTACATGAAGTGAGGTGGGGTTGAAAGGCTCGTTCAAGATTATTGCAGTAATATAGCACGTGTGTGTGTGACTGCTTGTACTAGTCACAACTTGTGCCAGTTTTATAGTGCTAGCCCACTGAGATACAATGCTTAACATGGATACCCCACTCACACACAGTATACTGACTCTGAGCAGACTAGTCCTTGTCCCAGCCCCTTCTAACAAGTCTATTGGTATGATGTTTCAACCATATCCGGGGGGAACTTGGGGTTCTGATCATTGGATTCTGGCATGCCTAAGGGACGCAACTCCGCAATATGCAGCCCTAGATGACTCTGCCACCTATACAGCCTACACACATTACAAATCATGTGCAGTATATATCACTTGTAGCTAGGCAGTGCTCCCCACCTGCTGGGGTAGATTTCCTTCCTGTCCTTGAAAATGTTGCTGGCCGTCACCTTTTCTTTCATTCGATATCGCGCAGCTTCATCAAACCGTGATCGATACTTGGCACACTGGAAACACAAACATGGACACTGAGTACTGGGATATAATGGAGCAGCCAGAGCTACACATTTCTGTACGGAAAGTGAGACTGATATTCCCCGGGGGCTGGTGTAATAGGTGGAGGTTTGCAGCATACACCAGTATGACCTGAAACCCCATTTGTTGCTGCACAGAAAGGCTATACACTTTCCTCTTACATGTCATTGTGATAGTTTTACCAGTAGTAATTTCAGAGGATGAATTTAAGGGGTATTGTATAAGGTCATTATTTCCTTTACACGTCAAAGCCAACAAATAATACATTTGGTAATACATTGGGATTATATACTCTTATTAAAGAGATGCATTTGACACTTTGAGGAAACACCTCTTTCTCATGTGATAGAAAAACAAAAACAGAACAGTTCGACCTGAGGTAGAACACATTGATATCCGACATCACAATGACATCTGAGATCCCAATGACATCTGCCATCACAACGACATCTGACATCACAACGACATCTGCCATCACAACGCCATCTGACATCACAAAGACATCTGACATCACGACATCCGACATTATAAAGACATCTGACATCACGTCATCTGACATCACAATGACATCTGACATCACAAAAACATCTGACATCACAACGACATCTGACATCACAAAGACATCTGACATCTCCATGACATCTGACATCACAAAGACATCTGACATGGCAACGACATCCGATATTATAAAGACATCTGACATCACAACGACATCTGACATCACAAAGATATCTGACATCACAATGACATCTGACATCACAATGAGGCTCTAGCTTTTCTTCTCAACTTCCGTCTGCCCTATCACTCACCTCACCTCTTGCTCCTTCCCCTACAGGTCTTTCACACACCCTCACTTCCACCACCACCCTCACTCACTTCACAACCCCCTACACACATTTTCAGGTCCTACCACTCACCCTCCATTTGTGGAAGATTTTCTTCAGTTCTTCAGATGACTGCTTGAACCGTGTGGGTGCTTTGGGCCAGTCAGGGCTGATGGGGGACTTGGAGGGGAGGTTGTCACGCAGCTTCAGCAAATACTGCTTTTTCTGAATATTGGAGAACATTTGTCAGTATAGTAACATGCTTGAGTCAGCATTATCTGGCAGTTGAATAGTGAGCGGAATGCTGCTTACTCAGCAACATTCAAAGTACATTTCATCAGGGCCTGTAAATAATGAAGTCTTGGCCCGAGGAACAAGGGATTGAAAACATGAGCACCAATCCACACTACAGCGACATGAAATCGGCCATGTCCCAAAACTTGATAACCTGGTCCCAAAGCTTGACGACCTGGTCCCAATGTTTGCAGGCCTATGGACAAGCATGGCACTTGAACCTATTCTGCCTTGTGGTGGCAACTGAAGCTAGTCCACTGATCACACAGACGGAGACATGAATACACCTAAATGCAGAATCAATGACATATTCTCTGCTCAGATTCAGATTCCAGATTCAGATCATACCAATGCTATTTTGAAGAATCTTGCAATCTTCGGTCCGGCGATCTTCCTGAACTTGGCACTGTACTCCTTCCGGACCTTCCAACCAAGGAAGAACTTGTGTATCACTGTGACAGACCATAGGACTCGCTTCTCATGCTTCAGTTTAGCCAGCAGCTTCCGAGCCTGAAGATAATAACATATATCTCTTATCTCCATGGCAACAATAGATGGTATACAACAATTTATAACATTCAGTACAGTGTCAGCGACACATATTCAACAGCCATCTGTAGCAATGCTTACAATACATATAATGAACCAATCAGGACACAGCATTAGATGTCGTAACATCTTGTAGCAAAACATATATTGCACAAAAACATATATCAAGGCAAAGCATCAATATATCAATGGAACATATATCACATGACATTACGAACAGCAACACATAACGAACCACTTACCAACCTAAAGAGGGATATACAATCTATATCTATGTATATTCTCATATTTACAATATGTAAGAAACAGATGAGACGAAAGGTAAAAGATAATAGAGCTAGACCATGATAGAGACAGTATCTGATAGAGATAGTATGTTCGATATGTTCTCATGAACCTGGATATTTTTGACATTAAACAGAGCATCTGCAAAATGGATATCTGACATTAAACAGCAGCTGCAACATGGATGTCTGACATTAAATGAACAGCTGCAACATGGATGTCTGACATTAAAAAGGGCATCTGCAAAATGGATATCTGACATTAAACAGCAGCTGCAACATGGATGTCTGACATTAAATGAACAGCTGCAACATCGATATCTTTGACATTAAACAGAGCAGCTGCACTTAAACACTGTAGCCATAACAAACATAAATCAAACCGAGAACAAACACAGAACATGCCCCTTGCCAAACATCTGCATGCACATTGATTCATGCTGCACATTGATTCACATTGCACATTGATTCACATTACACTATGATTCACATTACACAATGATTCACATTACACGATGATTCACATTACATTTTAGTTGCATCAGCCTCTACAAGTAACATAATCAGCTATCTTGTTGTGTTACATAATACTCTAATGCTTATCAGTCCCTTTGTTTCTTATATTTCATTTCTCGCTACTCAACTGCATTATACAAATAATAGATCCCTGTCAAAAAGTCCTCAGAAATATTACTATTTTAGTGCATATTGAAATTAGATTTAAAAAAAACATAATTATGACACAAATATTGAGAATGATCTATGTATTAACCAATTAATAATAGTATTAAGTGAACATAAGTTATTATTAGAAATGTTAACATTAATTAAAATCTGAACAACACCAACATTCTCTATCTCAATGGAAACTGATAGTGATAGGAATGTCAATTGGAATGTCAATTGGAATGCTCTACAAACATTTTCTGTACATCTTAAGCTTAGGGAACTGACAAACAACTTGTGTTTGAGAGATACCTCTCTTATCACCTGGAGATAGCAAATGTTGGTGTTTTGATGATAACAACGCTACTCTCATAAAGCCCCTGGCTCACTCTCTGAAATGTGAGTCTGCATATCAGAGAAGTCGGTGTTAAAATGTTATAGAACAATGCACCATATCAACTACAGTTTAATTAGTTAAATAGTTCTATGACTGCGAGATCTACTGTGAGTTAGAAGCCTGAATTAAAGTTATCGGCAATTTCTGCGTGAAATCATGCTGTGTTAACATGAACAACGTTGCATTCCCTCTACATTGTACTAGTCAACTAGCCAGTGCTGTGTCAACACGAACAACGTTGCATTCCCTCTACCTTGTACTAGTCAACTAGCCAGTGCTCTGTCAACATGAACAACGTTGCATTCCCTCTACATTGTACCAGTCAACTAGCTAGTGCTCTGTCAACATGAACAACACTGCATTCCCTCTACATTGTACTAGTCAACTAGCCAGTGCTCTGTCAACATGAACATTGCATTCCCTCTACATTGTACTAGTCAACTAGCCAGTGCTCTGTCAACATGAACAATGTTGCATTCCCTCCTCTACATTGTACTAGTCAACTAGCCAGTGCTGTGTTAACATGAAAAACGTTGCATTCCCTCTACATTGTACTAGTCAACTAGCCAGTGCTCTGTCAACATGAACAACACTGCATTCCCTCTACATTGTACTAGTCAACTAGCCAGTGCTCTATCAACATGAACAATGTTGCATTCCCTCTACATTGTACTAGTCAACTAGCCAGTGCTGTGTCAACATGAACGTTGCATTCCCTCTACATTGTACTAGTCAACTAGCCAGTGCTCTGTCAACATGAACAACACTGCATTCCCTCTACATTGTACTAGTCAACTAGCCAGTGCTGTGTTAACATGAACAACGTTGCATTCCCTCTACATTGTACTAGTCAACTAGCCAGTGCTGTGTTAACATTAACAACGCTGCATTCCCTCTACATTGTACTAGTCAACTAGCCAGCACTGTGTTAACATGAACAACACTGCATTCCCTCTACCTTGTACTAGTCAACTAGCCAGCACTGTGTTAACATAAAAACAACGCTGCATTCCCTCTACATTGTACTAGCCAGCACTGTGTTAACATGAACAACGTTGCATTCCCTCTACATTGTACCAGTCAACTAGCCAGTGCTGTGTCAACATGAACAACACTGCATTGCCTCTACATTGTACTAGTCAACTAGCCAGTGCTGTGTTAACATGAGCAACGCTGCATTCCCTCTACATTGTACTAGTCAACTAGCTAGTGCTGTGTTAACATGAACAACGCTGAATTCCCTCTACATTGTACTAGTCAACTAGCTAGTGCTGTTAACATGAACAACGTTGCATTCCCTCTACATTGTACTAGTCAACTAGCTAGTGCTGTGTTAACATGAACAATGCTGCATTCCCTCTACATTGTACTAGTCACCTAGCTAGTGCTGTTTTAACATGAACAACGCTGCATTCCCTCTACATTGTACTAGCCAGCACTGTGTTAACATGAACAACGTTGCATTCCCTCTACATTGTACTAGTCAACAAGCAAGCACTGTGTTAACATGAACAACACTGCATTCCCTCTACATTGTACTAGTCAACTAGCCAGTGCTGTGTTAACCTGAACAACGCTGCATTGCCTCTACATTGTACTAGTCAACTAGCCAGTGCTGTGTCAACATGAACAACACTGCATTCCTTCTACATTGTACTAGTCAACTAGCCAGTGCTGTGTTAACATGAACATTGCTGCATTCCCTCAACATTGTACTAGTCAACAGCTAGTTGCATGCTATGTTTCACACCTGCCATCCTCTATATGTCTTTTGGATCACAATTGACGACAACAAACATTTCCGTTCATGTTTGAGTTTCGCCAATAACCGTCGAGCCTGTAAAATGAAGAATATAAACCATAATTCTAAGTGCAAACAAAACTATTACAATTCACTACATCTCTACCATAAGAGGTTAATTGTAAGATAATAAAATGTCTTTAAATGTTCTTAAAGTAATGCCATCCCATGCCATGTAGGCTCCAAAAAAGATACTTGAGACTTCACTTCAAATGTCCAAACTCCAGTGTATACAGCTTCATATCACCACCCTCATGTACTATCCATGTCCCAGCTGTGGTGTATACAGCTTCATATTGCCACCCTCATGTACTATCCATGTCCCAGCTGTGGTGTATACAGCTTCATATTGCCACCCTCATGTACTATCCATGTCCCAGCTGTTGTGTATACAGCTTCATATCACCACCCTCATGTACTATCTTTTCCCAGCTGTGGTGTATACAGCTTCATATTGCCACCCTCATGTACTATCCATGTCCCAGCTGTGGTGTATACAGCTTCATATTGCCACCCTCATGTACTATCCATGTCCCAGCTGTTGTGTATACAGCTTCATATTGCCACCCTCATGTACTATCCATGTCCCAGCTGTGGTGTATACAGCTTCATATCACCACCCTCATGTACTATCCATGTCCCAGCTGTGGTGTATACAGCTTCATATTGCCACCCTCATGTACTATCCATGTCCCAGCTGTTGTGTATACAGCTTCATATTGCCACCCTCATGTACTATCCATGTCCCAGCTGTGGTGTATACAGCTTCATATCACCACCCTCATGTACTATCCATGTCCCAGCTGTGGTGTATACAGCTTCATATTGCCACCCTCATGTACTATCCATGTCCCAGCTGTTGTGTATACAGCTTCATATTGCCACCCTCATGTACTATCCATGTCCCAGCTGTGGTGTATACAGCTTCATATTGCCACCCTCATGTACTATCCATGTCCCAGCTGTTGTGTATACAGCTTCATATTGCCACCCTCATGTACTATCCATGTCCCAGCTGTGGTGTATACAGCTTCATATCACCACCCTCATGTACTATCCATGTCCCAGCTGTGGTGTATACAGCTTCATATTGCCACCCTCATGTACTATCCATGTCCCAGCTGTTGTGTATACAGCTTCATATTGCCACCCTCATGTACTATCCATGTCCCAGCTGTGGTGTATACAGCTTCATATCACCACCCTCATGTACTATCCATGTCCCAGCTGTGGTGTATACAGCTTCATATTGCCACCCTCATGTACTATCCATGTCCCAGCTGTTGTGTATACAGCTTCATATTGCCACCCTCATGTACTATCCATGTCCCAGCTGTGGTGTATACAGCTTCATATCACCACCCTCATGTACTATCCATGTCCCAGCTGTGGTGTATACAGCTTCATATTGCCACCCTCATGTACTATCCATGTCCCAGCTGTTGTGTATACAGCTTCATATTGCCACCCTCATGTACTATCCATGTCCCAGCTGTGGTGTATACAGCTTCATATTGCCACCCTCATGTACTATCCATGTCCCAGCTGTTGTGTATACAGCTTCATATCACCACCCTCATGTACTATCCATGTCCCAGCTGTGGTGTATACAGCTTCATATCACCACCCTCATGTACTATCCATGTCCCAGCTGTGGTGTATACAGCTTTATATCACCACCCTCATGTACTATCCATGTCCCAGCTGTGGTGTATACAGCTTTATATCACCACCCTCATGTACTATCGATGTCCCAGCTCTAGTGCATACAGCTTCATCTCACAAGCTTTGTGACTAAGCCATGCAAAAACATATGCTCAATCTTACAATTAACCTATTATGGTTGTTAGATTTACACCAGTGCTTCAAACAAAGAAATGAATGTTGAAATGAGGGAATGACAGGTTGCAGTTGATGAGGAGGAGGTTGTTAACTAGGAACAAAACACATGCTTGACAACAGCGAATCACACCTGCCAGCCTTTGAAAGTCTTTTGGATGACGATTGACGCTAACAAGCGTCGGCGCTCATGTTTGAGCTTCCGCAATAATCTTCGGGCCTGGAAGCAAGAACATGAAGACAAAAGTGTTATATGGGAATTCATCAAGTTCAGCCCTAGTTGGAGAAAGCACTTTAGCACAAGAAGCTCCTTTTGTCATCCAGTAAAGAGAGCAACAATGACCCAGCAACCTTTAGCACATCAGGAGAGATGCACAACATGCTTACTTTAACCCGAGAAAGATATTGTTGAGGCCCTATCAGTCGAAGACTAGCCATATACAGTTCGTAAGTCTACACATCAAGTGAGTGTTCTGTGGAGAGAGCCTGAGGCTCAGTACAGACAACAGGTGCTTGATAGATCAGGAAGTGTATGCCAATATCAGGTACATGACAGCATATTGTCTGCCGGCATGTGGTATTCAGGGATCAGTTCCAGACTCACCTTCCAGCCACGGGAGTAGCACTGGATGATCAAGGCGCTTCTCTTCTTCCTCCTGTAGCACTTCTTGGCCTGGACACAGACAATACAACTCAGCTCATTATGCAACATCTCATAGCACAAATGTATGTATTACATACAAGGGCAAACATATCAGGGGTCATACAAATCATATGTGCCCTAGGGTCATATCACGTCACGAGACAATAGTATATTGTTTCCGTCATCCGGACGGCATTGTTGACGTCATTCTTATTGTGATGTGATGTCGGAATGACGTCACACTGGAAACGACATCATAGCTGAAGATTGTTGACGTCATTCGACAAATTGTGGTTCCGCTGTTGCGACTTGCTGTCCTTATAGGTAAACACTAAAATTCACCTTGTTGGTTGGTTGGTTGGTTGGTTGGTTGGTTGGTTTGTTGTTTAACGCCGCACTCAGCAATATTCAAGCTATATGACGGCTGTCTGTAAATAATCGAGTCTGGACCAGACAATCCAGTGATTAATATCATGAGCATCGATCCAAGCAATTGGGATCGATGACATGCATCAACCAAGTCAGCGAGCCTAACCACCCGATCCCGTTAGTCGCCTTTTACGACAAGCATAGTCACCCTTTACGGCATGCATGGGTTGCTGAAGACCTATTTTACCCCGGAATCTTCAGGGGTCTCATCTCTGTATGTAGACATCTTCTTCAGTAATAAATAGAACATTATTTTTGTGTCCATGTCATACTATGTTTACGATACTCATGTCATAAAAATAGTATGAGATGAACACAAAAAAATATCCTCCATACACTGCCCACATACATGTAGTGAATGAATGTTGCTTTACACTCCAACAGTTTGAACCAACAGTTTTGAAGACACGCACGAAAAAAAGAATGTTTTGTTTGTTTGTTGTTATAGGCGCATTCAGCATTATTCCAGCTATATGACAGCGGACAGTAAATAATCAGACAATCCAGTGAGTGATACCGTGAACAAGGATCCATGTCATCATGGTACGTCCTCACACAAACAACTGACAGCAACTGACAAATCACAGATCCTGATCACTATCCATTTGGTTGCCAACCGAGCCACACACACAACCAACCACACAATCAACCAGCCACACAATCAACCAGCCACACAATCAACCAGCCACACAATCAACCAACCACACAATCAACCAACCACACAAGCAGCCAGCCACACAATCAACCAACCACACAATCAAGCAGCCACACACACAACCAACCAGCCACACAATCAACCAGCCACACAATCAAACAGCCACACAATCAACCAGCCACACAATCAACCAGCCACACAATCAACCAACCACACAATCAGCCAGGCACACAATCAACCAGCCACACAATCAAGCAGCCACACAATCAGCTAGCCACACAATCAACCAACCACACAATCAAGCAGCCACACAATCAGCTAGCCACACAATCAACCGGCCACACACACAACCAACCGGCCACACACACAACCAACCAGCCACACAATCAACCAGCCACACAATCAAACAGCCACACAATCAACCAGCCACACAATCAACCAGCCACACAATCAACCAACCACACAATCAACCAGGCACACAATCAACCAGCAACATACTCAACCAGCCGTACAATCAGCTAGCCACACAATCAACCAGCCTCACACTCAACCAGCCACACAATCAACCAGCCTCACACTCAACCAGCCACACAATCAACCAGCCACACACTCAACCAGGCACACACTCAACCAGGCACACAATCAACCAGCCACACACTCAACCAGGCACACAATCAACCAGCCTCACACTCAACCAGCCACACACTCAACCAGGCACACAATCAACCAGGCACACACTCAACCAGGCACACAATCAACCAGCCACACAATCAACCAGCCTCACACTCAACCAGGCACACACTCAACCAGGCACACAATCAACCAGCCACACAATCAACCAGCCACACACTCAACCAGGCACACAATCAACCAGCCACACAATCAACCAGCCACACAATCAACCAGCCACACAATCAACCAGCCACACAATCAACCAGGCACACAATCAACCAGCCACACAATCAACCAGCCACACAATCAACCAGCCACACAATCAACCAGCCACACAATCAACCAGCCACACAATCAAGCAGCCACACAATCAGCTAGCCACACAATCAACCAACCACACAATCAAGCAGCCACACAATCAGCTAGCCACACAATCAACCGGCCACACAATCAACCAACCGGCCACACACACAACCAACCAGCCACACAATCAACCAGCCACACAATCAAACAGCCACACAATCAACCAGCCACACAATCAACCAGCCACACAATCAACCAACCACACAATCAACCAGGCACACAATCAACCAGCAACATACTCAACCAGCCGTACAATCAGCTAGCCACACAATCAACCAGCCTCACACTCAACCAGCCACACAATCAACCAGCCTCACACTCAACCAGCCACACAATCAACCAGCCACACACTCAACTAGGCACACAATCAACCAGGCACACAATCAACCAGCCACACAATCAACCAGCCACACAATCAACCAGCCACACAATCAACCAGGTGAAATGAAGAAGGGTTAACATCGACCTATGGGTATCCACGGGGTAGATACAGTTGCACACATACCCAGAATGCCCTCCAGTTGGCAGACAGGACAATCTGACTGCGCTTCATGCGTCGGTACAGCACCTTCTGACGCCATCCCTTCCATATCTTCTGTATCAGAGTGGCCAGGTAGTGCATCCTCTCCCGACGGCACTCCTCCATGTCGAACAGCTGAGAACATCATGCACCATGTAAACCTTACTTGTCCTTGTTACTGCTCCCTACACACAACTTTACTTCATGCTACACTCAGGAGTCAGTTGACACGGAATGTACAAACCCATGCAACGACACTACCAAACGTATAGGAGCGTAGGACTCTGTATTGATCTTTGAGTGGCCTGTGAGAAGTTGAAGGTCACAGTCTTACAATATCTTATCATTTTCAGAATGGAAATCTATTATTAGTTTTCATAAAATCCACTTAAATGACCAGTTGGCATCTTGTAAAACTATCATAGAACATGATGTGACATCACTTACTTCCATTATCAAGACTTACTCTTAGTGTTCAAAATTTACTCTCAAGTGCTCTTATGAAATACATTTTCATAATGAGTTAATAGAGGTATGTACGGAACTTTACAAGCTTGTGTTCCTCACTTCGAACACTGCCAGGTAATTATACACAGTTAAGCAATCAATTTCAAACACTGCCTGGTAATTATACACAGTTAAGCACTCAATTTCAAACACTGCCAGGTAATTATACACAGTTAAGCAATCAATTTCAAACACTGCCTGGTAATTATACACAGTTAGGCAATCAATTTCAAACACTGCCAGGTAATTATACACAGTTAAGCAATCAATTTCAAACACTGCCTGGTAATTATACACAGTTAAGCAATCAATTTCAAACACTGCCTGGTAATTATACACAATTAAGCAATCAATGACTCACAGTTTTGGGGTTCCTGATGAAGATCTTGGTCTTGCCGACGGCGTATTCCTCGCCCTGGATGCCCTGGGTCTGGAGGATGGTCTCCACCCCCTTGCTGTTCAGCCCCGCCCAGCGCGGCCACGTCTCAGAGGCCAGCATCTTGTAGCGGTACAGGAATGCATCATAGTTTTGGCGAAACGCGTACCCTGCCCGCCGCACTCTCACGTTCTCCATCAACCTGTACAACACAGACCAACATGGCTGCTGTCACATGTCTGTGGAGGTTCCCATTTCAAACACAATGTGTCTACTAAATACATGATCTGGAGTAAAATGCAGGCAGCTTTTCACGAGTGATCATAAATTCTGAAAAACATTCTTTCAATTCTTTCCTTGACACAACTTTCATACACACAACACCATCATGTATTACAATGATTCCCCATAGTACATTGAACATTGAGCATTGAATATATCCCGTATTAACATCTTGTGAATTTACACAAGGTGCACACCTGTTTTCACCTAAATACCTTCAAAAAGACAACAGGTATTGAAGTCAGTTCTAAAATACATTGTGTCACACTGAACTTACCCTACATCGACAACATCACAACCCTACATCGACAACATCACAACCCTACATCGACAACATCACAACCCTACATCGACAACATCACAACCCTACATCGACAACATCACAACCCTACATCGACAACATCACAACCCTACATCGACAACATCACAGCCCTACATCGACAACATCACAGCCCTACATCGACAACATCACAACCCTACATCGACAACATCACAACCCTACATCGACAACATTACAACCCTACATCGACAACATCACAACCCTACATCGACAACATCACAGCCCTACATCGACAACATCACAACCCTACATCGACAACATCACAACCCTACATCGACAACATTACAACCCTACATCGACAACATCACAACCCTACATCGACAACATCACAACCCTACATCGACAACATCACAACCCTACATCGACAACATCACAGCCCTACATCGACAACATCACAACACTGAAGCACTTGTACCATGTCTTTACATTGTTAGAGCCCTGAGTTGAATGTTCACGCTGTGTAGGCAACATAGGCTGTGTGGCTACGTACCCGAGATATCGAACCTGGTGTCTCACGATGGACAGATCAAATGCCCCGGCCTTCTTGTCATCATTGGGCTGCAAGTGGTATGAAAATACAGTAAACTACGGGCATAACAAACTCAAAGGGACCACTAATTTCTGTTTGTTAAAACCATAGTTCATTATAAGCGTGTTTGTAATAAATGTAGTTTACTGTATCTTGCAAAAATATTTAAAAGTCCAGGTTTGCAATGACCTTCATACAATCATACAAACATCGTACAATGTTCATCCTTCAGTGATGCAGAACATATGTTACCATCTTAAAATGGAGGAATACAAAGGTTTTGAGTGAGTGAGTGAGTGAGAAAGTAAGGTTTTAAGCTGCTTTTAGCAATATTCCATTACTGTCACAGCTGGGGACACCAAAAATGGGCTTCAATATTGTACCCATTTTGGGAATTGAACCCGGACCTTCGGCGTGACGAGGGAACGCTTTAACCACTAGGCTACCCCACCGCCCCCCACCCAGGTGAAGAGGTGGTGGGTGACCAAGTCCTACCTTCACACAGCGGATGTAGTTGGGGTTCTTGGACAGCAGGTTCTTCATCAGCTCCGTCACCGATATCTACAACAGAAACATCACTGTAGGACATGCCTGGCATGTAGGGAGGGCTGTTACACCACCATCCCAGGAAGGTTTATCTGGGAGTGAGTAGCTTTTAGCAATATTCCAGCAATATCACAGCAGGGGACACCAGAAATGGGCTTCACACATTGTACCCATGTCAGGAATCGAACGCAGGTCTTCGGTGTGACAAGCAAACGCTTTAACCTCTAAGGCTATAGCTCTGGTGGAAGACATGAGTAACAGGGAGTTGAAGACACTGGACAGATTTATGAAATGGATCTTAGAGCTGGGACGAGTCCAAATTTACAACCTGGGTAGCCGACCCCCTATTACCTGACCCTACCCGGGTACCCAACCCCCTATTACCTGACCCTACCTGGGTAGCCGACCCTACCCCCTATTATCTGACCCTACCTGGGTACCCGACCCTACCCCCTATTACCTGACCCTACCCCATATTACCTGACCCTACCCCATATTACCTGACCCGACCTGGGTACCCGACCCCCTATTACCTGACCTGACCTTGGTACGCAACCCTACCTGGGTACCTGACCCCCTATTACCTGATCCCACCCGGGTACCCAATTACCTGACCCTCCCTTGGTACCCGACCCTACCTGGCTACCCGACCCCCCTATTACCTGACCCTACCTGGGTACTAGACCCCCTATTACCTGACCCTACCTGGGTAAAGACCCCCTATTACCTGACCCTACTGGGGTATCCGACCCTCTATTATCTGACCCTACCTGGGTATCCGACCCCCTATTACCTGACCCTACCTGGGTATCCGACCCCCATTACCTGTACCTTCCCGGGTATCCAACCCCCTATTACCTGACCCTACCTGGGTATCTGACCCCCATTACCTGACCCTACCCGGGTACCCGACCCCCTATTACCTGACCCTTCCTGGGTACCCGACCCCCTATTACCTGACCCTACCTGGGTATCCAACCCCCTATTACCTGACCCTACCTGGGTATCCGACCCCTATTACCTGACACTACTGGGGTATCCGACCCCCATTATCTGACCCTACCAGGGTATCCGACCCCCATTACCTGACCCTACTCGGGTACCCAATCCCCTATTACCTGACCCTACTGATTTGATCATGTGTACATTGAATTTGATTGAAGCTGTATCTCTGCTCAAACATATAAAAGGCAGAAGGAATGCATGCAGAAAGTTATGTGAACTTTAGGGACTTGTAGTGTAACTTGGGCATTGTATTGTTATTGTCATCGAACAATATATCACGTGACATTCAAGAGGAATAGCTTTCTTGTTCCTGTCATTACATATTGGAGTTATCTACCTTGAACTGTGATCCTGCAGTAGCCGGCCGCTTCAGGGACTTCTGGGAAGGATTTCCTGGAGACAGGCAACACATACAACACATGCTTACTCTGTCATGTACTTGTAAGTAGTCTTCTTTGAAATATTCAAACTGGCATTTATTTTTCCAAATTATTTCAGTCGTGTGATCATGAATAATGGATGACCCTTAACTTCTTGTGAGCACAGCTTGATAGGCATTCCTTGAGACCACGAGTGTCTCACGCTAGATGCACCTGTCAAGCATGGCTCTTGCCCAAAGTCTGCTAAGTCAGCAATGTATTCATAATGTTTTCTAGATTACAAGATTGCTGACAAAAGCGATGTGATCCTGTCACTACTGACACCAGGGGACTGACCTTCAGGGAAGAGTGTCTTCAGGAGCAAGTTCGAGCAGGAGTACATGGACTGAGACAGGTCACGGAACAGCAAGTCGTTGTTCTTGTCCAAGAAGCCTTCTACTTTGTACACAACCTGACCGGTGGGGCACGCAGATGAGAGAGAGTTAGTATTGTGTTACGCTGATGTAGATATATTCAAGCCAAAACGTATCATTGCATGAAATTCAAACACTTTAACCACTAGGCTACCCCGCCGTTCCCCCCAGGATACAGTGACATGTGAACCAAGTCGCCGGGTGCTGACCACCTCATGCATTGATTTGCCTCTTAGGACAAGAAATGGTTCCTGGGTGTCTAAACCCGGGCTCCCATGGGCTGAGGATGACTGACACAATTAAACACTTAAATTAAACAAATAAACAATTACCTCAGGGTAAATAACTCCTGATTATAACAAAACTGTGAACGAGAGAGTGAACCTACATTCCCAGCGTAGTGCTTAAGTCTGAAGGCATCATGGGGCAGGGACTTGTCAGACTGGGTCTTCTTGCAGTTGCGGCTCTCGTAGTGGAGGTGTTCGGAACAGCGAGAGTCCAGCTTCTGCAGGAAAGTCTTGTCAGACACAGTTCCTGGTCGCAGGCACTCCTCGTCCAGGAGGGCAAGGATGCCAATGTTGTTCTGCAACATGCAGAGGACATGTTTACGTACGGAACAGGACAGTAAGAGTGTGGTGGCAGTTGCTGCAGAGATTGTAGAAAGTGGATGGAATTGTTGCAGGGGTGGTGGAAAGTGGATGGAATTTCTGCAGAGGTGGTGGAAAGTGGATGGAATTGTTGCAGGGGTGGGGGAAAGAGGATGGAATTACTGCAGGGGGTGTGGAGAGTGGATAGAACTACTGCAGGTGTGGTGGAAAGTGGATGGAATTTCTGCAGGGGTGTGGGAAAGTGGATGGAACTACTGCAGGGGTGTGGGAAAGTGGTTGGAACTACTGCAGGGGTGGTGGAAAGTGGATGGAACTACTGCAGGGGTGTGGAAAGTGGATGGAACTACTGCAGGGGTGTGGAGAGTGGATGGAACTACTGCAGAGGTGGTGGAAAGTGGATGGAACTACTGCAGGGGTGTGGGAAAGTGGATGGAATGACTGCAGGGGTGGTGGAAAGTGGATGGAACTACTGCAGGGGTGGTGGAAAGTGGATGGAACTACTGCGGGGGTGTGGGAAAGTGGATGGAACTACTGCAGGTGTGGTGGAAAGTGGATGGAACTACTGCAGGGGTGTGGAGAGTGGATGGAATTTCTGCAGAGGTGGTGGAAAGTGGATGGAACTGTTTCAGGGGTGGTGGAAAGTGGATGGAATTACTGCAGGGGTGGTGGAAAGTGGATGGAACTACTGCAGGGGTGTGGAGAGTGGATGGAACTGCTGCAGGGGTGGTGGAAAGTGGATGGAACTACTGCAGGTGTGGTGGAAAGTGGATGGAACTACTGCAGGGGTGTGGGAAAGTGGATGGAATTACTGCAGGGGTGTGGGAAAGTGGATGGAACTACTGCAGGGGTGCTTGAAAGTGGATGGAACTACTGCAGGGGTGGTGGAAAGTGGATGGAACTACTGCAGGGGTGGGGGAAAGTGGATGCAACTACTGCAGGTGTGGTGGAAAGTTGATGAAATTGGTGGTGTGAGGAGGATAGAATATCATTTGGATGGATCAGATAAATTAATGTTGTACCCACCTTCTCAATAAGGTCACAGATAACAGCGTTGTTGAAGTAGTCAACATTGATCCATTCAATACCCTGCAATGAACAGGAACTGGCCAGTTACAGATGGTCATACAGACACAGAAACACATGCAGCAAGACCTTTCAGTGGACATCAAAACTACTCCAACATGGTCTGGGGGCACAGACGGCCATGTCATCAAAGGCACAGAAACTAGTTCCACAGAGTTGTGTCCTTTAGACAGGCCAGGATCCTTGATTGTGGTCTCAAATCACAGATTCGGCGTTTTCATTCGGCGTCAGTACTATAGTCATGTTTCATGAAAGGGGGAACCACCAGACTTGGATTTTCTCACACCTTCAGCTGATGAGCCATGATAAAGTGATGTTAAATCCCACTCACTCACATGCTCTGTGACCTTGTGGGTTTCACCTTAGTGGTAAATGTCAACAACTTGTGTCACATTAGGCTTTCCTCTAACACTAAGCTGACATGCTGTGATATAGTATGTGTGAATGGCTCTAAGACGCTTTTAGCAATATTCCAGCAATAAAACGTTGGGCACTACAGTATTGAGCTTCACGCATTGTACCCATGTGGTGAGTGAGTGAGTGAGTGAGTGAGTGAGTGAGTGAGTGAGTGAGTGAGTGAGTGAGTGAGTGAGTGAGTGAGTGAGTGAGTGAGTGAGTGAGTGAAAGAGTGAAAGAGTGAAACGCCGCTTTTATCAGTATTCCAGTTATATCATGGAGGAAAGTGATGTAGGTCTCAGACATTTACCACTTCGGTGAAACCCATGACCAGAGGTATGGTGCTGACAAATCTAGAAACATAATAGTGGCGACCGGGATTCGAACCCACAAACATCGGTTTCTGGCGTGACCAAGGGATGCAACTCTGCACAGTGAATCACGGCACCTTAGAAGATTGGGGCACCCATGGCTTTTTTACCCAAGTGGGGAACGAATTTGGGCCAACGGTGTGACAAGTGACTGGGCTATCAATAGGCTACCAGCACTAATATATCTGAATACTGCTGAAAGTGAGACAGATCTCACTCATCCCAACCGTCTTACATTCACTCCACAGTGAGAGCAGTAGCCTTCACACAGGGGAGATAACCCTACCTCCTTGATGTACTCTTCCTGCTCCTCCTTGAGGGTCAGCTCTATAAAGATCTGCTGCAGTTTCTCGTTGCAGTAGTTGATGATGAACTGCTCAAAGCTGTTGTGCTGGGAACAAACAGACAAAGCTTGATGTGAAGGTCAGAAATATTGATGTTACATAACAGTGGTCTGCTAAATAGAACATATGATGAACAACCCTGTAAACAATCTCTAAACATTTTCAAATTATTGGTCAACCAAACTCTCACCACCACAAAGGAATATTGATCTCACCTGTGACACTTTGAAACGATAGACATCACCCCCACCCCTCTAACAGATTCTATTATCTGCCTTGGAATTCCTTGAAACTTTTGATCTTAACGGAAACATCTCACACTCAAAACTACCACGCACTCCCACACAAGTCTCTCATCTCACCTGGAAGACCTCGAAGCCGTAGATATCCAGCACTCCCATCACCTTGGTCTTCACTTTCTTCTTCACCTGTACATACAACATCAGTCCGTTAACCAAGTGGAGAGCACAAGCAGTGAAGAAGCAGTGCCAGATGTACCATCACCCTCACCGTCACCCTCCCCCCAGCATCACCCTCACCTTCACCATCATCACCCTACCCCCCACCATCACCCTCACCATCATCACCGTACCCCCCACCATCACCCTCACCATCATCACCGTACCCCCCACCATCACCCTCACCATCATCACCCTACCCCCCACCATCACCCTCACCATCATCACCGTACCCCCCACCATCACTGTCACCTTCACCATCATCACTGTAACCCCCACCATCACCGTCACCTTCATCATCACCCTACCCCCACCCTCCCCACCACCATCAGCACCGTCACCTTCCCCCTCATCCAGATCGTCACCATGACCTTCACCATCACACTCCTCCCCGACCGTCACCCTCGCCATCGTAACCATCACCATTACCTTCACTATCACCATCACCATCAACATCACCATCATCGTCACCATCCCCATCACTACCACCTTCACCATCATCACCTTCAGTTAGGCCACCACTGAGACAAAGACACAGCTGTCAACTATTACTTGACATGACTATAACAGGATAACCTCCTTTTGATAATATACTTATCTCCGCTAAATAATCCTCTAAAATGACTTTTTTAAAATTGCATAATGCTTGTGGGCAGGGGTCCGGAAACCGTCATATGCGCCGGATGTCCGATTGGGAATCTCAAATGTCCGTTTTAAAATATTGCTTACCGGACATTTTAAAAAGTATTGTCCGGACATTCTTAAATTTTGACCGGACATGATCAACAGTTAGGACTGAGCAGCTTCTGTCTGCAGTTGCAACACAATGAAGATTAACTACACTGACAAGCTTTGTTTGTTTTGATTGCTGTAAATACATCGTACCTACATGATAGTCCAATCGGTCAATCACTGTAATAGGCAATAAACTGAGTTGACACTGATTAATGGAGGATTAATTACTGAGAACATCTTGTTAATTTGAGTGAAAGGTGTTTACAACTGTACATTAATACCTTGCATCATCGATGTACCTCATTATCCTCACAATGCTACGATACGTAACCTCAGACAAGAAGCGAAAGCGTGACGACAGCCAGTCGACCGATGCAGATCAGTCGAGCGGATCTGCCAAACCCTCAAAGTCTGGACGATCATTTTGTAAGTCGTGGCTAAGGACTTTCACTTGGTTGACATACAATGAGGATTTGCAGATTTTATTGTTTTCAAGAGCTAGTCATATATTGAATCTTGATTGACCGCCATTTTGCTTTCTCGGACGATCGATATCCAATTTTTTTATGGTCAATAAATAAGTACAGATGAACAAAGTATTCAAATAACTATTGCTATCAACGATATTTTAGTATTTGTGATTAAATTATCTGTCTTGTTTTTAAAAAAATCTTTAGTTTAAAAAAAAAAAAATTCCCGTGAGGTCACGTGATAACCAAATATGGGATAATAGTCTCGATCCAAATGTTACAACGCGTACACTTCAGCAGACTCATGAATATAACTCATGAATATTAATTAGACCGTTCACTACGTTAACAGATCGTTATTATAACAGAAACAAACGTATGTTTTCCATGTAAATCTAAAATGATATTATTTGTTATTAATTGTCCGGTGAATTAAACAATTTAAATTGAAACAATTCATAATTCATCATATTATGAATACGTAAACTTGTAATGTGTGTGAAAAGTCGTACTAAAATACGCTATTTAAAGGGGGCGTGGCCTAAATGCAAATGTCCGATTGGGATTTTAAATTTTCCGGACCCCTGCTTGTGGGTACATCACCTTGATACTGTCGTTGATCCTCTGGACCAGCCAGCTAAACATCCTACTGTACAGAGCCTTGCACAGGGCATCTCGGGCGTAGAATGCCTGCAACAGCAACACAACATGGTTTAACAACCATAGTCTGCAATATAATAATCTAACTGGACCACTGGTTTACAGCATCAGCAACAAAGTGAAACATTGTACAAACGAGATGCAATACTGGGGACCTATTCACTCATGGAAACCCTATGGGGTCCATACAAGTAGCCTGTCCTACCATCCCGATTTCCTTCATGACTCTTCCCCTGGGCAATCAAACCAGTCACCAATTGTCATTTAAATGTAAATAAAATACACAACCGTAGAACCTGTGGAATGTCGCCTGTTGTCAATGATGTAGCAATATTAGCATAAATTTAACATGACACTTCGACAACAGGAACTCCCACATGCAGCAATGACATGTGATTGGCACAATGCTTACGTCCCCTGTGTTGAGATCAGTTTTGACTTTGTCTCCACGAACTTCCACTGTACGCTGAGTCAGGGCTGCTGATAAGGTCTGGGCAGAGCACTCCAGCAGTTCACACACTTCGGACACCTCTGTTGACAGACAAGACAGGGATATAACACAGAGCATTCACGTTGCTGGGGGATAACAGTGATATTGCCGGGATCTACATATATGCTAACAATAAGGACCAGGTGCCCTTGTACAGAGCAATCTCAGCACCATCAGGTGATCGTAACTCCCATACCTTAACATAGACTTGCTACAGTCATAGCACTAAGGTAATTTTGTACAATGGCACCCCGGGCTGAGGAAAATCGGACAGTCATAGCTTGAGTTGATCATGAATCATTCAGACACACCTTGAAGTTTCTAATGTTGGATAATCTAAAAGTTAAAAGCCAAATTACATGGAGACAATGTCTCACAAATGGCACTCATTACAATTTCAAGACCTGAACAAAAAATGGGCAAAGCACAGTGAATCAAACTGCCCTATTAACTATTACTCTCAGAAAGCTGACACTTGCAGTGTATATGCCAGGGCATTGTGTCACATCCGGCACAGAGCATTGTGTCACATTCTGTCCAGGGTATTATGTCACATCCGGCCTAGGGCATTGTGTCACATTCGGAACAGGGTATTGTGTCACATCTGACCCAGGGCATTGTGTCACATCTGGCACAGGGCATTGTGTCACATCCGGCCCATCCACATCCAACATTTACAAACCTTGTGTGCTGCCAATATCGCATCCGTCGGTGCCGTCGTCGTTGCCCTTGTGGTGGAAGGTGATGTTCCCCAGCTTGAGGATTGTGGCCACCAGCTGCAGCACACCCATCACTTCCTTCTCCTGGAAGCCGATTACCTTCATCCCATTCTGTGGACATCAACAGTCAGCGTGACATCTCAACAAACACAACAGCAGTTTACTGGCAAATTGTATCAAGAAGAGTCTACTGAGTCAAGAACAGGCCTTGGACACAAGCATGAGGTACTGGGGGATGGACCTTGGACACAAGCAAGAGGTACTGGGGGATGGACCTTGGACACAAGCATGAGGTACTGGGGGATGGGCCTTGGACACAAGCAAGAGGTACTGGGGGATGGACACAAGCATGAGGTACTGGGGGATAGGCCTTGGACACAAGCATGAGGTACTGGGGGATGGGCCTTGGACACAAGCATGAGGTACTGGGGGATGGACACAAGCATGAGGTACTGGGGGATGGACACAAGCATGAGGTACTGGGGGATGGGCCTTGGACACAAGCATGAGGTTGTGGCAGAGAGACCTTGGACACAAGCTTGAGGTACTGGGGGATGGACCTTTGACACATGCATGAGGTACTGGGGGATGGACCTTGGACACAAGCGTGGGTTACTGGGGGATGGACCTTGGACACAAGTATGAGGTACTTGGGGATGGACCTTGGACACAAGCATGAGGTACTGGGTGATAGGCCTTGGACACAAGCATGGGGTACTGGGGGATGGACCTTGGACACAAGCGTGGGGTACTGGCAGAGAGACCTTGGACACAAGCATGAGGTACTGGGGGATGGACCTTGGACACAAGCATGAGGTACTGGGTGATAGGCCTTGGACACAAGCATGGGGTACTGGGGGATGGACCTTGGACACAAGCGTGGGGTACTGGCAGAGAGACCTTGGACACAAGCATGAGGTACTGGGGGATGGACCTTGGACGCAAGCATGAGGTACTGGGGGATAGGCCTTGGACACAAGCGTGAGGTACTGGGGGATGGACCTTGGACACAAGCATGAGGTACTGGGTGATAGGCCTTGGACACAAGCATGGGGTACTGGGGGATGGACCTTGGACACAAGCGTGGGGTACTGGCAGAGAGACCTTGGACACAAGCATGAGGTACTGGGGGATGGACCTTGGACGCAAGCATGAGGTACTGGGGGATAGGCCTTGGACACAAGCGTGAGGTACTGGGGGATGGACCTTGGACACAAGCATGAGGTACTGGCAGAGAGACCTTGGACACAAGCATGAGGTACTGGCAGAGAGACCTTGGACACAAGCATGAGGTACTGGGGGATGGACCTTGGACACAAGCATGAGGTACTGGGGGATGGACCTTGGACACAAGCGTGGGGTACTGGGGGATGGACCTTGGGCACAAGCGTGGGGTACTGGGGGATGGACACAAGCAGGAGGTACTGGGGGATGGACACAAGCACGAGGTACTGGGGGATGGACCTTGGACACAAGCATGGGGTACTGGGGGATTGACACAAGCACGAGGTACTGGGGGATGGACCTTGGACACAAGCGTGGGGTACTGGGGGATGGACACAAGCACGAGGTACTGGGGGATGGACCTTGGACACAAGTGTGGGATACTGGGGGATGGACACAAGGGTGGGATACTGCTCTGCTCTACTGTTGACTGGTCAAATCAGTTGAAACAGATAGACATACCCTGATTGAATGGAAGTTCTCACTGTCATTTATTGCAGGGACGTTAAAACATCCGCTCTTGTTGAGAAACTCATAGCTGTTGTGGTCACTTGTCAGCTTCAAGCTCTCTGAAACAGGAAATACATGGTCAATGTGGGTGGACATGGACACTAGTAAATGTCATACACAAGTTATACACCAAAAAGGCCTGAGGGAGTCAAGATTGTTGTCAAAATAACGTAAGAGATTGATTTACCTAGCAGTGCGGGTTCTGCTCCACTCAGCAGCTGGTAGAAGATGTGGAAACTGCGCTCCCCTGGTCCTTGGGCGGCCACTCTCGACTGAAAACATCATGAGAACAGTTACACACTGTTCAAACCATTGAGGGTTCCAACAAATAAATCTGTTCCAACAAGGAGCTGCTTAATGGCTGAATACACATCAAGTCATAGTTCAAGTCATCCATCATACAAACAAATGCCTTATCATATTAAAGATATTTCTTTACAGTATTACTTGTGAGTGAAAATATATAAGGGAAGCATCTGAGTGAGTGAGTTGGGTTTAACGCTGCTTTTAACAGTATTCCAGTCATATCACGGCGTGTCAGCTTAATGTGGGAGGAAAGCCCAAGGTGATGCAGGTCTCAGACGTTTACCACTTCGGTGAAACCCACGAGCACGGGTATGGTGCTGACAAACCTAGAAACATAATCGGGGCGAACCTGGATTCGAACCCACAATCATAGGTTTCTGGCGTGCCTAAGGTACGCAACTCTGCACAGCGAATCGCGGCGCCTTAGACGACTGGGCCACCCGTGCCCCCGGGAAGCATCTGAAGTTAAACCTATAGTGCCAACTGGTGCATTAAAGAGACATCTAGCAAGCACCATAGTGAAACCTATAGTGCCAACTGATGCATTAAAGAGACATCTAGCAAGCACCATAGTGAAACCTATAGTACCAACTGATGCATTAAAGAGACATCTAGCAAGCACCATAGTGAAACCTATAGTACCAACTGATGCATTAAAGAGACATCTAGCAAGCACAATAGTGAAACCTATAGTACCAACTGATGCATTAAAGAGACATCTAGCAAGCACCATAGTGAAACCTAAAGTACCAACTGATGCATTAAAGAGACATCTAGCAAGCATCATAGTGAAACCTATAGTACCAACTGATGCATTAAAGAGACATCTAGCAAGCACCATAGCGAAACCTATAGTACCAACTGATGCATTAAAGAGACATCTAGCAAGCATCATAGTGAAACCTATAGTACCAACTGATGCATTAAAGAGACATCTAGCAAGCACCTGAAGTAAAACCTATAGTATCAACTGGTGCATTAACGAGACATCTAGCAAGCACCTGAAGTAAAACCTATAGTATCAACTGGTGCATTAACGAGACATCTAGCAAGCACCTGAAGTAAAACCTATAGTATCAACTGGTGCATTAACGAGACATCTAGCAAGCACCATAGTGCACCAACTTTTGCATTAACGAGACATCTAGCACACACCTGAAGTAAAACCTATAGTATCAACTGGTGCATTAACGAGACATCTAGCAAGCACCTGAAGTAAAACCTATATGTCAACTGGTGCATTAACGAGACATCTAGCAAGCACCTGAAGTAAAACCTATAGTATCAACTGGTGCATTAACGAGACATCTAGCAAGCACCATAGTGCACCAACTGGTGCATTAACGAGACATCTAGCAAGCACCTGAAGTAAAACCTATAGTATCAACTGGTGCATTAACGAGACATCTAGCAAGCACCTGAAGTAAAACCTATAGTATCAACTGGTGCATTAACGAGACATCTAGCAAGCACCTGAAGTAAAACCTATAGTATCAACTGGTGCATTAACGAGACATCTAGCAAGCACCTGAAGTAAAACCTATAGTATCAACTGGTGCATTAACGAGACATCTAGCAAGCACCATAGTGCACCAACTGGTGCATTAACGAGACATCTAGCAAGCACCTGAAGTAAAACCTATAGTATCAACTGGTGCATTAACGAGACATCTAGCAAGCACCATAGTGCACCAACTGGTGCATTAACGAGACATCCAGCAAGCACCATAGTGCACCAACTTTTGCATTAACGAGACATGTAGCACACACCTGAAGTAAAACCTATAGTATCAACTGGTGCATTAACGAGACATCTAGCAAGCACCATAGTGCACCAACTGGTGCATTAACGAGACATCTAGCAAGCACCTGCTATTGCAGTGTCTCTCAAGTGGCTTTAACTTACCTTTTCAAGCAAGTCTGTTGTGTTCCAAGGTCATGAAACAAAGAAAAGTCCAACAGTGCATTAGGCGAGGTCAACATCAGTATCAGATTCCAGTACTTCACCTAGTGTTACAGCTATGTAACAGCGGCCTGTAAATCAAGTCTGGACTAGACAAACCTGTCAGTGACATTATGAGCAGCAATCCACAGTCAGGGCATGATGATGCACTATAAACTAAGTCAGCGAGCCTGATCTACTGAGTCGCCTTGTACAACAAGCAGTTCTTGCTGGGGACCAATTCTAACACAGATTCCCCACGTGGAACTACTCATGTGTAGTTGATCTAATCACATCATGTTAGGGCTGGGATGGGTAACTCGGGTACCCTGGTCGGGTGGGTACTGGGTAGGACCTGAGTACCTGCAGGACTACCCGGACCCATGGTTAGTCACGTGGTATATTGTTTAATGACAAAAACCATCTAGCACTCTATGATTACACTACAAGTCACTAATGTTAGCATTTCTTTCTGACTACGCACCCATACCTTCTAACTTTTCATATGGTTGAATAAAGATATAACTTAAGTCAACTTCAGTGTATGCATCACCAGATTGTTTTGCCAGAGCTATCGAACATTTTGTACCCATGTCTGGAGACCTACAGTGTGTACCCGGGTTGGGTCTGGTAATAGAGGGGTTGGTACCCGTGTTGTACATTTGGACTTGTCCCAGCCCTACATCATGTCATTTCACCTACTTTTGATACTTCAAGATTGCAATTTTTCTGTTTATAAAATCAGTATGACACACAGGCAAGTATAATAATCTCTATATATTACACCAATTAGTCAATCATATCTCAGCACATCAATATCACTGCATAATGCCCTGAAGACACTGACTCTAAGTGCATATGTACTTACAGTTTGTTATGACTCCACCGATGGGGTCCCCCTTAAAGTCAAACTCTATGTCCATGTACTTCCCCTGGCAAACACAAACAAACCTCCATCATGGGGGTGTGGCAATCAGCTGACAGGTAAGGTACATACAATTCTGCTGTCAGCACTATTCCAGCTATGTCACAGAAACCTGTAACTATTGGAGTCTGAAAGTGACTGCAATCATAAGTCATGACCCCCACCATAAGGGCACAATTTGCTTGTTTGTTTGTTTATTTGATTATTGTTAAACACTGCACTCAGCAATATGCCAGCTATATGACGGCGGTCTGTAAAGAATCGAGTCTCAACCAGACAATCCTGTGATTGACATCATGAGCATCGATCTACGCAATTGGGATACGATGACATGTATCAATAAAGTCAGCAAGCCTGACCACCCAATCCTGTAAGTCGCCTCTTATGAGAAGCATAGTCACCAGTTACAGCAAGCATGGGTTGCTGAAGACCTATTCTCTTCCCAGATTTTCATGGGTCCAGCAGGGCATGATGACAGAAACAGCCACATCACACTCCCACCCCATCACTTGCAACAACTAGCTTGGGGTACTGGGGAATCCCTGAGGGTGTCTGTATTAGTTGTCATACAACCATACTCTCCGAGTGGTGAGGAGAAATAGGATTTAACATTAAAACAAGAATGTTCGAACCCCGGACCTTCCGCTCTCCTGGCAGAAGCTCCACCATGAGACCACGGAGAGTGAGTGAGTTAATGGTGATCATCATGTCCTGGTATATCGTCAGAGGTAACTGATCAATGAGAAGCTGTATTAATACACAGATTAATGATATATTGGAAGAATGACAGTGTCAATCTTCCGTGGAGATCACGTGCACATCTGCCTGTTATTACTGTAACACACAAGAAATCTGTAGTTCTATCAGATGATTGGCTATGTGGACTTCGTCACAATGTCAAATTGCTGACAAGAGTAATGGCAAACAGGGCACAATGTTACATCTTCACTGTTCTCTCTCCATGAGTTACTTCCCTTGATAAGTACATACTTTGCGGAGCTTGACACTGAGGCATACTGTCAGTGTAAATGGAACAATATAATGCCCTGACCCTTCCTGTGTACTTACAAATCTGGAGGAGTTGTCATTCCTGGTAGTCTTGGCGTTACCAAAAGCTGAAAGTCAAATGTGGAAAATGTACTTCGGAATACTTTTACTCTTCGGCTGACAGATTGTACAAATATCGAGAATAAACTTTGATACATGTAAGTTTGATTGCTACAATTCTTAAAGCATATACTAGACAAAAGATGGCATTAATAGAGTAATTAACATACATAATATTATCAGAACAAATATGAAGAAGATAATTGACTGTTGCTAACAAGTATGATGTTATTTCATTAAAGGGAGTATTCATCATTAATATGTCTAAAAGTGGAAATATCAGTTATAACCTTCAAGGACAGGACAAGCCCACCTCTGCTTACCTTCAAGGACAGGACAAGTCTTCCTCTGCTTACCTTCAAGGACAGGACAAGTCTTCCTCTGCTTACCTTCAAGGACAGGACAATTCTACCTCTGCTTACCTTCAAGGACAAGACAAGTCTTCCTCTTCTTACCTTTAAAGACAGGACAAGTATGCTTCTGCTTACCTTCAAGGACAGGACAAGCCTACCTCTGCTTACCTTCAAGGACAGGACAAGCCTACTTCTGCTTACCTTCAAGGACAGGACAAGTCTTCCTCTGCTTACCTTCAAGGACAGGACAAGCCTACCTCTGCTTACCTTCAAGGACAGGACAAGCCTACCTCTGCTTACCTTCAAGGACAGGACAAGCCTACCTCTGCTTACCTTTAAAGACAGGACAAGTATGCCTCTGCTTACCTTTAAAGACAGGACAAGCCTACCTCTGCTTACCTTCAAGGACAGGACAAGCCTACCTCTGCTTACCTTCAAGGACAGGACAAGCCTACCTCTGCTTACCTTCAAGGACAGGACAAGCCTACCTCTGCTTACCTTCAAGGACTGGGTTTGACTGCAGCAGCTGTTCCTTGACTCGGTCAATGTCCTGTCCCTTCCCAGACACCTCCGCAACATACTGCATGATCACCTTGCTGGCCTCTGCAACACCACATACATCGATTCATTAGTCACATGTTCAGTACACACACAGCCAAAATACACATTGCATAATAACATCACTATACTATCACTGTACCATTTTTGGTCATCATCTGGTCATTATAAAGGGGGCATCGATAGCACTGTGCAACTGTTTTAACTCTACAGTGTCTACCCACTATAATGTCTACTCACTCTTTCCTCCACTGTATCTACCCACTCATTTCTCAACTGTGTCTACCCCTCATATCCCTCTATGATGTCTAACCACTCGTCCCTTTATATGGTAAACTATGGTTATAATGAACTTAAAGGGACAACTAATTTTGGTTTGTTATAACCATAGTTGGTTATAACCATTTCCACTATCAGACATTATAGATCAAGTCATGTGATCGCAACAGATCACTGTTATAAGCATGTTCATTAAAACAAAGTTTACTGTAATATCTATCCACTTGTTCTCCCCTCTATAATATCTCCCAACTCATCCCTCAAATATGTCTACCCACTCATCTCTCAACGATGTCTACCCACTCATCTCTCTATGATGTCTACCCTCTCATCTCTCAACGATGTCTACCCTCTCATCCCTCTATGATGTCTACCCTCTCACCTCTCTATGATGTCTACCCTCTCATCCCTCTAAGATGTCTACCCCCTCATCTCTCTATGATGTCTACCCTCTCATCTCTCTATGTCTACCCTCTCATCCCTCTATGATGTCTACCCTCTCATCCCTCTATGATGTCTACCCTCTCATCTCTGTATGATGTCTACCCTTTCATCTCTGTATGATGTCTACCCTCTCATCTCTCTATGATGTCTACCCTCTCATCCCTCTATGATGTCTACCCTCTCATCTCTCTATGATGTCTACCCTCTCATCTCTGTATGATGTCTACCCACTCATCTCTCTACAATGTCTCCCAACTCATCTCTCAACGATGTCTACCCACTCCTCCCTCTAAGATGTCTACCCACTCATCTCTCAACGATGTCTACCCTCTCATCTCTCTACGATGTCTCTCAACTCATCTCTCAACTATGTCTACCCTCTCGTCCCTCTATGATGTCTCCCAACTCATCTCTCAACGATGTCTACCCACTCCTCCCTCAAAGATGTCTACCCACTCATCTCTCAACGATGTCTACCCACTCATCTCTCTATGATGTCTACCCTCTCATCCCTCTAAGATGTCTACCCTCTCATCTCTCTACGATGTCTACCCTCTCATCCCTCTATGATGTCTACCCTCTCATCTCTCTATGATGTCTACCCTCTCATCTCTCTATGATGTCTACCCTCTCATCTCTCTACGATGTCTACCCTCTCATCTCTCTACGATGTCTACCCTCTAATCCCTCTATGATGTCTACCCTCTCATCCCTCTATGATGTCTACCCTCTCATCTCTCTATGATGTCTACCCTCTCATCTCTCTACGATGTCTACCCTCTCATCTCTCTACGATGTCTACCCTCTAATCCCTCTATGATGTCTACCCTCTCATCTCTCTATGATGTCTACCCTCTCATCTCTGTATGATGTCTACCCTCTCATCTCTCTATGATGTCTACCCTCTCATCCCTCTATGATGTCTACCCTCTCATCTCTCTATGATGTCTACCCTCTCATCTCTGTATGATGTCTACCCACTCATCTCTCTACGATGTCTCCCAACTCATCTCTCAACGATGTCTACCCACTCCTCCTTCTATGATGTCTCCCAACTCATCTCTCAACGATGTCTACCCACTCCTCCCTCTAAGATGTCTACCCACTCATCTCTCAACGATGTCTACCCTCTCATCTCTCTACGATGTCTCCCAACTCATCTCTCAATGATGTCTACCCTCTCGTCCCTCTATGATGTCTACCCTCTCATCTCTCAACGATGTCTACCCTCTCATCTCTCTATGATGTCTACCCACTCATCACTATACGATGTCTACCCTCTCATCTCTCTAAGATGTCTACCCACTCCTCCCTCTAAGATGTCTACCCACCAGTTTTGCCGGAGCCGCTCTCCCCGGAGATGATGATACACTGGTCCAGGTTTCTGTCCCGCATCGACCGGTAGGCGTCATCAGCAATGGCATATCTGGGGAAACAATAGATAAATCTAAAAACAACTCTGACAAAGGAATCATCACGGTGTGCATATATCCTTGTATCCATGGTATAAGTGTGTGCATACAGGGATGGGTTATATATCCTTGTATACAGGGATGGGTTATATATCCTTGTATCCATGGTATATGCATGTGCATACAGGGATGGGTTATATATCCTTGTATCCATGGTATATGCGTGTGCATACAGAGATGGGTTATATATCCTTGTATCCATGGTATAGGCATGTGCATACAGAGATGGGTTATATATCCTTGTATCCATGGTATAGGCATGTGCATACAGAGATGGGTTATATATCATTGTATCCATGGTATAGGCATGTGCATACAGAGATGGGTTATATATCCTTGTATCCATGGTATAGGCATGTGCATACAGAGATGGGTTATATATCCTAGTATCCATGGTATAGGCATGTGCATACAGAGATGGGTTATATATCCTTGTATCCATGGTATAGGCATGTGCATACAGAGATGGGTTATATATCCTTGTATCCATGGTATAGGCATGTACATACATGGACTGGTTATTAATCATCCCAAACTCATCTCAAACTGGATCCCACAGGAGATATCGCTTGGGTGAGATCAAACAATATCTACATGAGGGATGATCACAGGGATGGGTTACATATCCTTGTATCTATGGTATAAGTGTGTGAATACAGGGACCGGTTATATTAGCATACATACAAGGTGTGTATATCAGGCTTTTACTGAACGCAAAATATTACATCCAGTTGGCATACAAATTGGGAACAGACGAAAACATTTTATATTGTGGGTAATATATTCTCTAATGGATGATTATCTTTTTTAATGGTTATGTGAATAAATGAAAGGTGAAACAATTAAGTGACACCAAATGGTAGGTGTGGCAGAAACCAGTCAAATACATGGGAGGTAGACCAAACACGAGTTCCACATCATGGTAGAAGGGCAGACGCTTAGTTCCACATCAGGGCTGACAGGACAGACACTTAGTTCTACACCAGGGCTGTCAGGACAGACACTTAGTTCCACATCAGGGTAGAAGGGCAGATACTTAGTTCCACTTCAGGGCTGTCAGGGCAGGTACATAGTTCTACACCAGGGTAGAAGGGCAGACGCTTAGTTCGACATCAGGGCTGTCAGGACAGATACTTAGTTCTACATCAGGGTAGAAGGGCAGATACTTAGTTCCACTTCAGGGCTGTCAGGACAGACACTTAGTTCCACATCAGGGTAGAAGGGCAGATACTTAGTTCCACTTCAGGGCTGTCAGGACAGACACTTAGTTCCACATCAGGGTAGAAGGGCAGATACTTAGTTCCACTTCAGGGCTGTCAGGGCAGGTACATAGTTCTACACCAGGGTAGAAGGGCAGACGCTTAGTTCGACATCAGGGCTGTCAGGACAGATACTTAGTTCTACATCAGGGCTGACAGAGCAGATACTTAGTTCCACATCAGGGCTGACAGGGCAGATACTTAGTTCCACATCAGGGCTGTCAGGACAGACACTTAGTTCCACATCAGGGCTGTCAGGACAGACACTTAGTTCTACATCAGGGTAGAAGGGCAGATACTTAGTTCCACTTCAGGGCTGTCAGGGCAGGTACATAGTTCTACATCAGGGCTGTCAGGGCAGGTACTTAGTTCCACATCAGGGCTGTCAGGGCAGATACTTAGTTCTACATCAGGGCTGACAGGGCAGGTACTTAGTTCCACATCAGGTCTGTCAGGGCAGGTACTTAGTTCCACATCAGGGCTGTCAGGGCAGATACTTAGTTCTACATCAGGGTAGAAGGGCAGGTACTTAGTTCCACATCAGGTCTGTCAGGGCAGGTACTTAGTTCCACATCAGGGCTGTCAGGGAAGATACTTAGTTCTACATCCGGGTAGAAGGGCAGATACTTAGTTCTACATCAGGGCTGACAGGGCAGATATTTAGTTCCACATCAGGTCTGTCAGGACAGACACTTAGTTCCACATCAGGGTAGAAGGGCAGATATTTAGTTCCACTTCAGGGCTGTCAGGGCAGGTACATAGTTCTGCATCAGGGCTGTCAGGGCAGATACTTAGTTCTGCATCAGGGCTGTCAGGGCAGATACTTAGTTCTACATCAGGTCTGTCAGGGCAGATACTTAGTTCTACATCAGGGCTGACAGGGCAGATACTTAGTTCTACATCAGGTCTGTCAGGGCAGGTACTTAGTTCTACATCAGGGCTGACAGGGCAGATACTTAGTTCTACATCAGGGCTGTCAGGGCAGGTACTTAGTTCTACATCAGGTCTGTCAGGGCAGGTACTTAGTTCCACATCAGGGCTGTCAGGGCAGGTACTTAGTTCTACATCAGGTCTGTCAGGGCAGGTACTTAGTTCCACATCAGGGCTGTCAGGGCAGATACTTAGTTCCACATCAGGGCTGTCAGGGCAGATACTTAGTTCCATATTAGGGCTTACAGGGCAAATACTTAGTTCCACATCAGGGCTGATAGGGCAGATACTTAGTTCTACATCAGGGCTGACAGGGCAGATACTTAGTTCTACATCAGGGCTGTCAGGGCAGGTACATAGTTCTACATCAGGGCTGACAGGGCAGATACTTAGTTCCACATCAGGGCTGTCAGGGCAGATACTTAGTTCCATATTAGGGCTTACAGGGCAAATACTTAGTTCCATATCAGGGCTGATAGGGCAGATACTTAGTTCTACATCAGGGCTGTCAGGGCAGGTACTTAGTTCTACATCAGGTCTGTCAGGGCAGGTACTTAGTTCCACATCAGGGCTGTCAGGGCAGATACTTAGTTCCACATCAGGGCTGTCAGGGCAGATACTTAGTTCCATATTAGGGCTTACAGGGCAAATACTTAGTTCCATATCAGGGCTGATAGGGCAGATACTTAGTTCTACATCAGGGCTGACAGGGCAGATACTTAGTTCTACATCAGGGCTGTCAGGGCAGGTACATAGTTCTACATCAGGGCTGACAGGGCAGATACTTAGTTCCACATCAGGGCTGTCAGGGCAGATACTTAGTTCCATATTAGGGCTTACAGGGCAAATACTTAGTTCCATATCAGGGCTGATAGGGCAGATACTTAGTTCTACATCAGGGCTGTCAGGGCAGGTACTTAGTTCTACATCAGGTCTGTCAGGGCAGGTACTTAGTTCCACATCAGGGCTGTCAGGGCAGATACTTAGTTCCACATCAGGGCTGTCAGGGCAGATACTTAGTTCCATATTAGGGCTTACAGGGCAAATACTTAGTTCCATATCAGGGCTGATAGGGCAGATACTTAGTTCTACATCAGGGCTGACAGGGCAGATACTTAGTTCTACATCAGGGCTGTCAGGGCAGGTACATAGTTCTACATCAGGGCTGACAGGGCAGATACTTAGTTCCACATCAGGGCTGTCAGGGCAGATACTTAGTTCCATATTAGGGCTTACAGGGCAAATACTTAGTTCCATATCAGGGCTGATAGGGCAGATACTTAGTTCTACATCAGGGTAGAAGGGCAGACGCTTAGTTCTACGACAGGGCTGTCAGGACAGACACTTAGTTCTACATCAGGGCTGACAGGGCGGATGCTTAGTTCTATATCAGGGCTGACAGGACAGACACTTAGTTCTACATCAGGGTAGAAGGGCACTGCTGTTGGGCTCAGGATTATATACCGCCTTCATTCCCTTTAACCCATAAACAATTATCTGCTAAATATACCCACAGGGCTATAAATGGCTATTAATGGCTTGACTTGGATTCCTCTAGATAAGGTGGCATACCTCCGGGCACTGCTTGCTACAGCATGAACACCCTGCCTCAACAGAAACTCTATCCATCCAACTTACTACACACTGTCCTGGCTCCCCGGCCTGGCTGTCTAGTTAACCTGAGTGCCTGACTGATACAGTGCTACTGCTTGGTAGTATGATCCCAACAAAACAACACTTAATAGCATGTATTTTCCTATTAAAAGACGTGGCACTTGTCCCTCCATCCATCTCCAATCCAACTCACCCCCCCCCCCCCCTTCCATTTTCGTAAACTCTCTCCCCCCTCACTCTCCCAACCCAACTTCTCCCACCCCAGCTCATCACTGCCCCTACCCTGACCTGCCACTATCCACCACCCTGACCTGCCTCTATCCATCATTGCCCCTCCCTCCCTCCACCACCCTGACCTGCCTCTGTCCATCACTGACCCTCCCTCCCTCCCTCCACCACCCTGACCTGCTTCTATCCATCACTGACCCTCCCTCCTCCCACCCCCTTGACCTGCCTCTATCCATCACTGCCCCTCCCTCCTTCCACCACCCTGACCTGCTTCTGTCCATCACTGACCCTCCCTCCACCACCTTGACATGCCCCTGTCCATCTCTGACCCACACTCCCTCCCTCCACCACCCTGACCTGCCTCAGTCCATCTCTGACACACCCTCCCTCCCTCCATCACCCTGAACCGCCCCTATCCATCTCTGACCCATCCTCCCTCCCTCCACCACCCTGACCTGCCCCTATCCATCTCTGACCCTCCCTCCCTCCACCACCCTGACCTAGTATGATCCCAACAAAACAACACTTAATAGCATGTATTTTCCTATTAAAAGACGTGGCACTTGTCCCTCCATCCATCTCCAATCCAACTCACCCCCCCCCCCCCTTCCATTTTCGTAAACTCTCTCCCCCCTCACTCTCCCAACCCAACTTCTCCCACCCCAGCTCATCACTGCCCCTACCCTGACCTGCCACTATCCACCACCCTGACCTGCCTCTATCCATCATTGCCCCTCCCTCCCTCCACCACCCTGACCTGCCTCTGTCCATCACTGACCCTCCCTCCCTCCCTCCACCACCCTGACCTGCCTCTATCCATCACTGCCCCTCCCTCCTTCCACCCCCTTGACATGCCTCTATCCATCACTGCCCCTCCCTCCTTCCACCACCCTGACCTGCTTCTGTCCATCACTGACCCTCCCTCCACCACCCTGACATGCCCCTGTCCATCTCTGACCCACCCTCCCTCCCTCCACCACCCTGACCTGCCTCAGTCCATCTCTGACACACCCTCCCTCCCTCCATCACCCTGACCCGCCCCTATCCACCTCTGACCCTCCCTCCCTCCACCACCCTGACCTGCCCCTATCCATCTCTGACCCTCCCTCCCTCCACCACCCTGACCTGCCCCTATCCATCTCTGACCCTCCCTCCCTCCACCAACCTGACCTGCCCCTATCCATCACCATCATCACCAGCCCAGTTTGTATACTCTTCTCTTATCTGGGAGTACACAGATCAACATCAATATTTAGCCTGACCCCTCAGCTAACCTCCAACACAACAAGGCCTGGACAGCATTACTACTCTCTCTCACACATTCTTCACATACACCTCTCTCTACTAGCCAGGAAGGGAACACACAGGGCACCTGTCAGAGCTGGGTGGGTGTGTGTCCTGCTGTCCCCACACCCCTGTCTTAGCATGAAAGATGACACTAATCAGTGAAGATACTCAGCTGGAATATCTGCATGAAAAATGGTAACTTGAAGATTTATCAACTGAAAAAAGATATCCTTTCATTCATGATGTCCACAATGCCACCTTTATTAAATAGTTCTTGTTACTACTCAAATATTATCAGCTTCGACATATAGCCCTAAGCACCCGATCTATACCGCAGAGTCATGTTTGCACCCACCCCTTCCAACTTTCTCCCCCCCCCCCCCCCCCCCACTGCCTACCCTGACCCAGGATATGTCCCCTGCCCTAAACCAGCTCCTGCTGTGCACATGTTGAGTGTGTAGTCTGGGGACCTGAGAGGCTGAGATCATATTTTCCTCATCCCAACCCATTCAATATTTGGCAAGATGACGTTGTGACCACCATGGCCTTGTTCCCTCAACAAACACACATTGTGTATGCTGCTGGGATTGACAAGGATATAAATCAGGCTCTCAACATCATTTGGTTGCCATAGTGAAGTGAAAAATTAAAGCCAGACCTTTCCTCTTGCACTCTGGGCTGCTGAGGGGTAGGTAGGGGTGGGGGATGTGAGATGTGGGAGTAAGACGAAGTCTTCAAACCCCACAGCCCCATGTGTAGCTAAGAAGGGATGTGTAAAGGAAACACAGAATGGGGAGGGGTTGGGTGGGGATGGAAGGTCAGGAGGAGTAAGGCAGGCTTTTCAGACATTGGGTGAGTTTCGGGAGCCCCACTAGTCAGTCTCCCAGACCGTAGAGAACAAATACACAAATGAATCCATCTCAAGTCTAGAATAATTTGGCCAGTCTAGATTGCCTCATTTCTAGTCTGAAATAAAGCATTGTTCTGGGCTCCATCTGGATAATATTTTTCATTTGGTAGATATGTAGTTTGAAATAAGATAATTTTATTTCTGTGAGAAAATGCCAGGCAGGGCCCAAGATGTTGATAATGAAGACGGTGTAGAGAGACTTGGGCAGCACAAGAGGTAAGGTCAGGGGGATGTGCTGAGCCCTATGTGGTGAGGAAGGTGCAAGGGAGGTACAGGGGAGGGGTTTGATGGGGGGTGTCAAGTGGAGGGGGTGGCAGTGTGAACTGAGCCAGTTACACACGTGGCTCAGTTTATGGCACCAACTGTATCTATTCTGGACCTTGAGACAGGAATAGACCTGGCGCATCTCAACTCTTTGAAGCAGGACAATGATATCAAACTATCTACGAAACTAATCTGAAGCCATGCCATGTTTTTTATCACAGACAGATAGCTTGCAGCTTCCAGGACACTCATCACTGATAGTGCACGTGTTACACAAGCAACACTCTCAAGCTGCAGCTAGGGAGAACACACAGTCTTGTGGAGGAAACTTTCATAGAGTGAGGTGATTAATAGATTCATCAAAAAGCTGTACACTGTGGGGAACATCACATCTGTCAACGCTGGCTACTGTCTTACTCTTTCTGGCTAACTTTCTTCTAACCCATCAAACACTGCCACTCAAACTCTGTCAAGGACAACCTGGAGCACTTGCAGGAGATAATCAATAATGCTGGTACACTCTACCAAATAGTCATCGGCTAATGGTACGCATGTTTATGTCTCTATATATGTTGATATGCAAGAACCTGGCAGTGAGTGAGTGAGTGAGTGAGTGAGTGAGTGGGTGGGTGGGTGGGTGGGTGGGTGGGTGGGTGAGTGAGTGAGTGAGTGAGTGAGTGAGTGAGTGAGTGAGTGAGTGAGTGAGTGAGTGAGTGAGTGAGTGAGTGAGTGAGTGTGAGTGAGTGAGTGGGTGAGTGAGTAGATAAGTGAGTGGAGAAGTGAGTGAGTGGTTGGTTGGTTGAGGGAGCAAGTGAAGACTGTTTAATGCTCAGTCAGCAATATATGCCAGCCATTTCAAGATTATAGGGCTCGAGTCTGGTTGAGGCCCACCAGTGGCATGATCCAGCCCTAGGGTCATGTATACCCTAGTAACATAGTAACTGACCGACCCTCATCTTGTCAGGCTTATGTCACCAGCAAGGGGCGTTGGGAACCTATTCTTCACCCAAACACATTCTCCTTCAAATAGCACTGGGTGCCGTTGTACAAAGCGATCTTTGCACTAAGGTGATCCTAACTCCCATACTTTAACATAGACTTACGACAATCGTAGCACTAAGGTTGTTACGTACAACAGGCCCCTGGTCTCTGGACTTGCAGACAAGAGCGGCCATGTCTTACATCCCCCTGGCCTGGTGAGCGCTCTTGTGCAGCAATACTCTGGTGAAATCAATTCCAGCTGCACCAAGAACAAGTCCAGCAGTGGTCTGTATTCCTGATCAACAGAGCTCCAGATAACTTTTTCAGCAATTGAGTTTTTACTCTAGGGTTTCTATTTTAATTGGGTTATTACATTTTGTCAATGGGTAACCAATATTTTCTTACTCATCTATTCATAACTTTATTGGGTTTTTCCCAAATCTAGTGAACATTTTAAGATTTTAAAAAAATGAAATAATGTTTTAGATGTATATAACTGTTTTAAATATATAGGCTTGACTCAGAAAGTAAATTAGCTTGTAATTATGTTGATGAAATTAGCTCCCTTGAACGCATGCTGAAAAAGCTTCATTGGGTATTGACGGGTGCTGTTTTTATACATTTGAGTTTTTCATTTAATGCATGCATTTCTGTACATAAGTTAATTAAAAGTAATTGGGTTTTGAATATTTGGAGGGGGGGGAGGGGGGTATTTTACGTAAATACGCTGCTTATCTGTAGCTCTAGATTAATAAAGTCAGTCCCACTTTCTCCCCACCACATTACTACCAGAGTTTAGTACTTCATGTTACTTCACTCGTTTACTTGATTCCACTGCTAGCCAGAACATCAATAAACAGATACAGCCAGAACATCAATAAACAGATACAGCCATAACATCAATAAACAGATACTGCCAGAACATCAATAAACAGATACA